TGAGGGGATCTAGTTAATGTCTTACAGCTTCTTAATGCATAGTAAAGGGCACGGGGTAGTGGCTCAAACGGGCAGAGAGAGAATTTTATGTTTAAAAATGTTCTTGTCCTGACTTAAAAATAATCTTATTTCATCAGAGAAGGGGCCTCTCGCCAGAGTGGGGACTGAGGTCTCCAGCTCCGGGACAAGCCACACCCTGTCCCATTTCTAGAGATGGACCTTGGCCCTCCACCTTTCAGTCTTAGTTCTATATCTGGAAATGATTCTAAGATTTCAGCTGATGACTTCCCTGGTGTTCCAGTGCTTCAGACTCCCTGCTCCCAGTGCAGGAGGCATGAGTTCGATCCCTGGTCAGAAAGCTAAGATCCCCCATGGTGCAGGGAACAATCTTTAAAAAAAAAAGGGTAGTGTGGACTTCTCTGTGGCTTAGTGGTGAACAATCTGCCTGCTAATGTGGGGGACAGTGGTTCGATCCCTAATCCAGGAAGATTCCACCTACCTTGGGGCAACTAAGCCTGTGTACCACAAACGCTGATCCTGAGCTCTGAAGCCCTTGAGCCACAACTGCTGAAGCCCATGTACCCTACAGCCTGTGCTCAACAAGAGAAGCCACTGCAATGAGAAACTCTTGAACCATGACAAAGAGTAGCCCCTGCTCTCCACAACTAGAGAAAGCCTGCACACTGCAACGAAAACCCGGCACAGCCAAAAATAATTTTTTTTTAAATTTAATTTAAGAAAAGACAGATTGCAGCTGGACACCAACCTTTCTTCACTGCAGCTTACCTAACTGGGCCAAGCTTTTGTGCAGGCAGGAGATAGATGGGCCCTTGGGCTGGACAGCTGGTATTTGTCAAGTGGAGTAAAATAGAAGTTTTGTTCTCACCCAGACACTCCCAAGGACAAAGCAGGTGGCAAAAGCTGAGCTCTGCTAAAGTTAAGAGATAAGGTCTCCACTTCCCAGGTCAAGGAAGACTTCCCTGTCTGCACATGTGCAGGAAGGCTTCTTGGGGATCCAAAAGAGAGGACGCCTCACCCCATAATAAGTGTGGAAATGTATCCACAGGCTTCTGCAGCGGTATCCATCCTAGCAAAAAGTTGTGCATGCATCTTGGGGAGAGTCCAAGGACCAGTCAGGTGTGAAAAAAGAAACAAGACAATTGGCTAAAAGTGAACAAAGCCCAGGTTTCCTGGGTGATGCTCTTGGTAAAGAATCTGCCTGCCAATGCAGGAGATGGGGACTTGGGTTTGATCCCTGTGTTGGGAAGATCCCCTGGAGTAGGAAATGGCCACCCACTCCAGTATTCTTGCCTGGAATATTCCATGGTCAGTGGAGCCTCACAGGCTACAGTCCACAGGGTCACAAAGAGTCAGACATGACTGAACACACACACACAAACACATACACCTGGAAGGACTGTCCGATATAAAGGGTTTAAATCTCCTCTTTACTGTGCTCCTTATTCCGGACATCTGTATTCCTGCCCTGCTTCTGACATAAATAAGCTGTTTTTTTGTGTGCCCTCCCATACTTTGTGCTGTGTCTCTAATAATATACTTTGTATGTATTTTGCAGCTTTTGCCTCCTTGAAACATTTTTGCTTCCAATTGGGGTAAGAATCAGAGAACATTGCTTCTAGCCTCTACTTCTGGTGGACTGGCAGCTAGACTCAATCCCTGGACAGGAAAACAAAATCCTGCTTCAAGACTACAGTCCCTCTGAAAGCAGTAGAAAGGGGAGGGAACCAACCCAGGGGCTTGTATGTTTCACATACTATTTCCTATCTCTAGGAAGACCGGGGTTGGGAAGATCTGCTGGAGAAGGGATAGGCTACCCACACCAGTATTCTTGGGCTTCCCTTGTGGCTCAGCTGGTAAAGAATCTGCCTGCAATGTGGGAGACCTGGGTTCGATCCCTAGGTCAGGAAGATCCCCTGGAGAAGGGAATGGCTACCCACCCCAGTATTCTGGCTGGAGAAGTCCATGGACTGTATAGTCCATGGGATCGCAAGAGTCAGACACAACTGACTGACCTTCACTTCACTTCAGGAAGACCTCAGAATGGTGATGGCTATTGCGGGTGCAGGCATCCTTCAGTCTACCAGTATCTAGCTAGCATCTACCTTGTCTCAGCCTGGGGCTCCTTTTGGCTCAGGGGAGGTAGGAGATAATTAACAAGCCAGCAACGAGCTCACACATAGCCTTAATGGCCAGAAATGAAGCCCCCACCACCCTAAGAATCAGGCCTATGGGTCATGGCACAAGGCCTGCCTCTAGAAATCCAGTCAGCTGCCCTGTTGTCAGGGAAGCTAGCCTTTCCTGGTTTAGCTCCTTCCAGACCTGGCCAGGCTCCTAAATTTGTGCCCTTAGAGCCCCACAGCTTGTCTCCCCTAAAGCACTTCTGCAGATGAAATCTTACATGGATTAGTAGGACTGTTTGATGTCTCTCCCCCACCATTCTACAAACTACAGCCCACCCCACCCCCCTGCCCCGTAAGGGCTTTGTCTCCTCACTGCTGTCAACTTGAAAAAAATGCACAACATTAGAACTGTGAGTTGGGTGTATTCAGTTTCTTACTGAGCTCTGAGAAACTATTCTGAAAAGGCAACAGAGAAACCAGGATATATGTGAGTTTTTCTGTATGTCCAGGACTATACTGTGGGGTTGGATGGGGTGGGGTGGGAGGAGTTCTGGAAACACAATAGTGTTAAAAAAAAAAAATGTTGCCTGCCATTCCAGTTCTATAAGGATCAAGCCATTAGCCACTAATCGGTCACCCAATGGAAAGAAAAACATCTAGTTGAGGGACTTCCCTGGTGATTCAGTGGTTAAGCATCCTGGTTTCCACTGCAGGGGATGCAGAGAAGTTCTACATCCTTCGAGGTGTAGCCAAAAAATAAAAAAAAATAAAATAAAAATGGTAAAGAAACAAACAGTCAAACATAAGAAAATTAACAGCAAACCACAAAGAACAGGGTGATTTGAGTACTGGCAGAGTCAGACATGACTTAGAGACACGACAACTCTTCAGTGTATGGGAAGACACAAGAATCTGGGGTCACTGAGATTTTCCCCTAAATGAGTTTCAACTATCTAGGGGTGGGGTTCAAAGTACAGAAGGTCCTTCAGGTACACTGTTCTAGGGTGGATGGTGAGTGACTGTAGCTGCTAATGGCTCCATCCCTATAGAACTGGAATGGCAGGCAACATTTTTTTTTTCTCTCTCTTTACATTGCAGTGTTTCCAGGGCCTCTCTTGGCCATGGTCCCTGACATACAAGGGGCATTCAACAAATGCACTGATAAGGAAGAAAGCCAAGTAGTACTACTATCTTTTACAGTCAATAAAACAGGGCCAGGTAGAGATCCGACTGCCTTCTGCCCCTATTTCTGTAGTAAGAGCACCAAAGAGAATAGGGCCACACCTAAGGGCCTCCCAGGCCCTCCACCAGCTCCTCCTCCCCTGCTCCTCCAAGGGCATCGCAGAGCCATGACCCAGCCCCAGAAACAGACTAGCTTCCCAGGAAAAAGATCCCGTGGGCAGAAGGGGAACAAGTGACAGTCTATTCATTACAATTATAGCATTTACAATATATCAGACATTGTGCTTCCTGAGCAACTCTTTGAGTCACATTCTATTAGCACCATCCTTTTAAAGATGAAGAAACGGAGGCACAAAGAGCCAAGTGGCATGCCCAGAACCTAGGTGACGGAATTGAGGCAGTAGAATTGGAGGCTGCACTTTTATCCACCGAGTCGCTCTGTCGCAGGGCAGAACATCAGCACAGACATCAGAAGTCGTGTGTTTTTCCAGCTCGGCTTTGAATGCCCGATTGTTCTTGTCTCTTTATGGGTAAATTGGGATCCTTAACAATAACTAGCTTATAAAGTTGTTGGGAGATAAACCCACGTGGAGTTTAGTACAGCGCCTAGAACATAATAAGCGATCAATGAATGTTAATTATTCATATTCTCCTACTGTTATGGGGGTTTCGGGGCCTGGGAAGGAGTGCCTGGNGGGGACGGCCGCGGGGGGTTAGGATCTTGGGTGGTGGGCGGGGCGGGAGCAAAAGTTGGAGCCCGAGAACTGCGGTGTAGAGATGCTGAAAGCTGACGCAGATAAAGCGAGCTTGGAGGGCTAACAAGGGGGTATTTACTGAAAAAACAAAACGCACAACTTAAAAAGATGAGAATTTTTTTCAGTTTATTTTTGGCTATGCTGGGTCTTCATGGTTGCCCCGACTTTTCTCTAGTTGTGTCCAGCGGGGTCTACTCTCTAGTTGCAGAATGCTGGGCCTTCTCACTGCGGTGGCTTCCCTTGTTTGGGGACAGGGCTCTAGAGCACAGGCTCAGTCGTTGTGGCGCACAGACTCAGTTACCCTGCGGCAGGTGGATCTTCCCCGACCAGGGACCGAACCTGTGTCTCCTGCACTGGCAGGTGGATTCTTTACCGCTGAGCCACCAGGGAAGCCTGGAAAATTGTCTTATTTAGCTACCTTTCTGAGGACTCAAGCCCTGGAGGCAGTCTCTCAGACAGCTCCGAAGGACTGCCCCTGAGAGATAAGGGAGGAACCAGGATATATAGGAGTTTTGTGATAAAAACCAGCTTGGAGGAACAGCAAAAAACTACAAGTGATAAGTGTTAGTCACTCAGTTATGTCCGACTCTTTGCAACCCCATGGACTGTAGCCCACCAGCCTGCTCCATCCATGGGATTTCCCAGGCGAGAATACTGGAGTGGGTTGCCATTTCCTTCTCTAGGGATCTTCCCAACTCAGGGATTGAACCCTGATATAGCAGCAGCATTTTTCATTCACAAAGGAATGGATCTTACAAATTTCCCATACCCTCTCCAGCATCCATACTAAAATTCTCTTGAGGTTTAGGGCTTCAGAGAAAGTCCTGATCTCTGTGTCTCCCAGGTGGGTGACAGTGTGGGGGGTGGGCAGCCCAGAGTGAGGGATAGTAACCTCCGCCTCCACTTAATACAACTCTTGCCCCCACAGAAAGTGGAGACACTCACCTCCCACTGGACCCTCTACATGAACTTGGGCGGCTTCCTGGTGGGACTCTTCTCGTCCACCCTGCTGGGCGCCTGGAGTGACTGTGTGGGCCGCCGCCCGCTGCTGGTGCTGGCCTCGCTCGGCCTGCTGCTCCAGACCGTGCTGTCCATCTTTGTGGTTCAGCTGCAGCTCCACATCGGCTACTTGGTACTGGGCCGCATCCTTTGTGCCCTTCTCGGTGATTTCAGTGGGCTCCTGGCCGCTGGCTTTGCCTCCGTGGCTGATGTCAGCTCCAGCCGCACCCGTACCATCCGAATGGCCCTATTGGAAGCATGCATTGGGGTGGCAGGGATGCTGGCGAGTTTCATTGGTGGCTACTTGCTCCAGGAGCAGGTTTATGTCAACCCCTTCTGGCTCGCCTTGGCCTTGCTGACCGTCATGACTCTCTATGCAGCATTCTGCTTTGGTGAGACAGTGAAGGAGCGGACACCTACCCGTCTCTTCACACTCCGTCACCACCGATCCATCATCCAGCTCTATGTGACCCAGGCCCCGGAGAAATCCAGGAAGCACTTAGCCCTGTACTCATTGGCCATCTTCATGATGATCACTGTGCACCTTGGGGCCCAGGACATCCTGACCCTCTATGAGCTGAGCGCACCCCTCTGCTGGGACTCTCGGCTGATCAGCTACGGTTCTGCAGCTCAGCAGCTCCCATACCTCACCAGCCTGCTGGGCCTGTGGCTTCTGCAGTACTGCCTGGCCGACATCTGGGTGGCTGAGATTGGCCTGATCTTCAATATCCTGGGGATGATGTTCTTCGCATTTGCTACCACCACACCCCTCATGTTCACAGGTAAAGTGCATGGGTTCAGCGACAGTTTGTTTCAGAATTGCTGGGTGGCCACGTGCTGTCCCCAAATGCAGTTTGTGCTCATGTCTTTGGAAACATGACTGGGGCCCTAGCATGCACTGGAGGACAGACGACTAAGAAATCTCATTAAAAAAACCCCCACCTGTTACACAGAAAAGATAGACCTTCAGTAGCCAAAGTAATTAATTCACATTACCAACCATAAATATTGTAAGACAGAGCCAAAGACAATAGTATCGCTTGTACACTAATTGCTTCACTCCCTGGCCTCCCACTTCCCCTGGTGCTTTTAAGCAAAGTCCATGCTGTTAATGCCTTAATGCTCACTTCTCTGATAAGGATCACAGGACCTTGGTCAGCTTCTTTGGGTTTTTAAAAAAAGCCAGCCTTCTCAGACCACAGCTATCAGATTCCTGCTTGTGTTCGTTCTTCTTTTCTTTTTGGTTGGAGGGGACAGCTGAAAATGAGGAAGTTCACTTTCCTGAACGGACAGATTTATTTTAATAGAGCCTGAAAATGTGTACAGTCAGCCATTCAGTAATCACAGATTAAAAAAAGAATTTTTTTTTAAATGCTTGGCGTGGAGGCACACAGGCTTTTTCTTGTTGCTGCACATGGGCTCTAGAGTTCGAGGGCTCAGTTGTTGTAGCACTTGGGCCTCTCTAGTTGCAGCACGCAGGCTTAGTTGCCCCAAGCCACGTGGGATCTTAGTTCCCCAACCAGGGATCAAACCTTCACCCCCTGCATTGGAAGGTGGATTCTCAACCACTGGGCCACCAGGGAAGTCCCAGTAGTCACAGACTTCTTAATGTGGCTGCTCCTCTGGACAGGGCAGCTGATGGGGACCAGGTACCTTTTCCTTCTACACACAGCATCTTCCATGGACTCGGTGGTGGACTCAAGGGCTTCAGGGCTGCAGAGATGATGAAGGCACTGTCATTGCTCAGGGATTTGGGGGTGCCTGTCACCTTCAGGGGTTCTGGGGGTGGGGCCTCATCGTGTACCCACTTTGGAGGCTCCACTGCCCTTTAACAGTTTGCAGTTTTGCTGAGGAGGTAACAGTTGCAAGAGGGAGAGAAACAGTTTCTAAGGAAACAGTACAAGCCTGTGAGTCACTAAATGTCCATTGAAAAGGAACTCACATTTACTGTGTGCTTACTGTGCACCGTCATCATCTCCTTCCTCATCAGGGAAGTTCTTCCGGTGTCTAACCTGCATCCCTCATGGGGTGGACACCAGAGCTCTGCTACATCTCACTGGGGCACCCCCTCCCCAGCCCCATTCTCTCGATCTTTCCTTCTTTCTCCCCAGGATACGGGCTCCTCTTCCTGTCATTGGTCGTCACTCCTATCATCCGGGCCAAGCTCTCGAGACGGGTGAGGCAGTCGGAGCAGGGTGAGTATCAGCGTCAGCCCGCGTCTGTTTCCTCAGGCCAGTGTTGCCTAAACTGGGTGAGGGCAGCCATGGGCTGGGAGGAGCTTACCTTCCTTCCTCCCACCTTGGAGAAGTAGCTAAGACAACTGCGTTGCTGTCCAAGCGCCCAGGGCTGGCAGAGGACCACAGGGATTTGCATTTTCTGACCAAATCATAGTCGGAATTTGCAGTCAGCTGCATGTGATTATGATCTTTTGCTGGGCTTATGTTTTTAAGCCCAGCAGAGGATTTACCCTTTCCAGAATTCAGCTTTTCTATCTGCAAAATGGACATGACGATGCCACAGGCCCCTGCTTCCCTGGGGTCACAGTGTCCAAGCTCGAAGGAGACAAAACAACTTGGTGACTTAGGTTTCATTGTTTCTGCGTGGCAGATGAAACTAAGGCCCAGAGTGTTAAATTGATTCACCTAAGATCACTCAGTAAGTGGTGGGCCTAGGTTGCACACCCAGGTGTGTTTTTAAGAGCACCAGGGCTTGGGATCTGGGTTTTTAGTCCTGGCTCTTTCACACTGGCTGTGTGATCTTGGGTAGGTCCCTTTCCCTCTCTGGGCCTGTTTCCTCAACACAAATGAATTGCTCTTGGTGACATCTGCAGGCCCTTCGAGCTCTTGACAGTCTGATAGTTTAATCTCAACTTCTGTTAGGTTGAGCTTCAAAGCAAGAGTGAAATGAAAGTGTTAATCACTCAGTTATATCTGACTCAGTTGTATGCGACCCCCTGGACCGTAGCCCACCAGGCTCCTTTGCCCTTGAAACTCTCCAGGCAACAGTACTGGAGTGGGTTGCCATTCTCTTCTCCCGGGGAACCTTCCTGACCCAGGAATCGAACCCGAGTCTCCCATGCTGCAGGCAGGTTCTTTACCATCGGAGTCACCAGGGAAGCCCAGGGTTGAGCTTTGCAGAATTCGTGTTCTGTTGGCATAACTATAAAGACTAGTTTCTCAGGTCACTGGGTCTTTAGATTGCAGTCAGAAAAACATCTGGCTTATCCTCTTTTTCCCTTCTACCTTGGGAAGAGGTTTTGGTGATGGCAGAGATTTTCATGTCATATATCCCACCATGGGTTCTGTTGTCTCCAGAACCATTCATTCACAACCATTCTGTTGTTTCCATTCATTCACTCAATAAGTCTTTTTCTAGCTCCTTCACTATGCCCAGAGATGCCAAGAGGAACAGGAGAAAAGAACAGCCTTTGCTAACTGCCTGCCTGTAGGAGGGCAGGCCCTGGCATAGGTGTTTTACCTGTGTATATAATGTTACCAGCATTCCTAACAATCCATGAAAGGTAATGTCCTTGTTTAATAGAAGGGGGACAGAAACCCAGAAAGATAAATGACTTATTCAGTGATCACACAGCTAATAAGTGTTGAAACTGAGAATTAACCCAGAAATTTATCCTAAACAGGAGATGATTCCAAAGGGGATAAACCCCACATGATTTTATCAGACTTTATCAAACTTCTTCGAGAAGACATCACACGTCCTTGTAATAGATTTAATAACAGCCGTTTGTTTTATAGCACAGGTGCTCTCCATGTATGACCTCACTGAAGCCTTATCACACACAACACATGATGTAGGGTTTATAGGTGAGAAAGGTCAGACTCAGGTGAAGTGGCTTGCCCCAGATCACACAGCTGTTAGGTAGTAGTGCCAGAATTTGCATTTAGGTCTTTCAAATTGCTGTGTGGTATTTATTTCTTCACAGGTGCTCTCTTTTCTGCTCTGGCCTGTGTGAATGGCTTGGCCATGCTGATGGCCTCTGGCATCTTCAACTCACTCTACCCAGCCACCCTGAACCTCATGAAGGGCTTCCCCTTCCTCCTGGGAGCTGGACTGCTCTTCATCCCGGCCATCCTGATGGGGTAATACAGGGCTGTGACTCACGGTCAGAACGGAGCCGTTTACCTAAAGGGCTCCTCTTCCTCCTCCCGACCTCCTCGTTTCTGGAGCTCTCCCCCTGTGGGTGCCTCTCTCCCCCCTTGCAGACGGCTGCCTGATTCTCTGGGAGCGGTTCTCCAGGGGCAAGGCAGAGGCCAGCAGGGGAAGGAACACGCTCACAGTGCTGCTTGGCAGGGCTGTGTTCTCCTAGTCAGTTCCCCTCGCCCCTCTCTGTTCCCATTTTACAGATGCAACAACCGTGCGTGGCAGAAATGCGCTAAAGGGAAGCCTGGAGAGCTTCCTGGGATAGCTGTGGCTGGGCCCCATGCCCACCCGACCCACTTGCTTTTCTTCCCCCGAGCCCTCTGTCTTGTCTTCCACCTCTTAGCTTGTGGTGGCGGGGNGGGGGGGGGGTGGTTACCTGGATCAGCCCACCCAATAAAGGCCATGTCACTCCTCCAGGAGTTGAGGGTCCCACCCCCATGTTAAGTCTGAACTCTCTCTTTGGTCTCTCACAGGATACTGGAAAGGGATAATCATTGCCCTGAATTCCAGGAGTTTTCCCAGAGCAGCCCCTGATCTGCCTAGACCTGAGGACAGAGGGCAAGAGGAGCAACATGAGCACTGACCAACTGGAAGGAGCTGCATCTGGATCCCAGCCCTTAGCATAGCAGCAGATTCCCCCAAAGCGCTGTGTTCACCTTGGACAGGATGGTCAACCTGGACCAAGGCCCCTGCCTCATCCACAGCTGTGCCAGCCTAGGACTCCCAGATCTCGAATTGTCCCCCACTCAGGGCAGGGGGTGGGGTGCGCCTATTTGGAACAGGGATCTGTTTACCCTTTAGGCCATGAATCACACAGAAGAACCCTCCAGGGGAGGGGAGAGATCCTGACGGAGGGACCAGCTGAAGCCTGAGGGCTGGCACCTCTGCTTCCAACCCAAACTGGGCAGCTCGGAGTATTCAATTTATCAGTCCTTAGTGATGAATATGGTACCTTTGGGGGAGGGAGGGTTGTGGGAGGGACTTGGTGTCCCCTGGAGGGAGAATGCTGCTGTCCCTGGGTGGCAATTAATCTGCTGGGCTTAGCAGTGCCAATCATCATAAGTCAGTATAATCGCCCTGAAATGAACTTTCTGGCTCCCCCACGGCATTAGGCTATGGGGCCTTGTTTTCCCAGTTTGCCCACCATAGACCAGGCAGCAGCAGCTGCTGGAAAGGACAGGAGCCCCCAGTTGCCATGAGATTGGCACCGGGCACAGCCGGCTCACTCCTCATCTGACTGCCCATTGTCTTCTGAGCTTCTGGGAGGCAAAGCGCTGGCACGCTTGCATCAGGCCAGTGGGGAAGCTCTGGGCAGAGCCCTGGCCGCTCATTCCTTGGGGTCAGAGATCCACTCCCTGAAGGCGCCCGTCCCGATCTTCCTGGCTACAGCCAGCCCAAACGGAATCAATTTTTGTTACCACTCAGCTCTCTAACACCCCCCATCTCTAGGCATTTCAGCAGGGCCATGTGCCAACACTCTCCCTTGAGCACCTGTAGGTCAACAGGAACCTGGAGATAGGTCCAGCCTCCCCCTATGGTATAGGAGGCCCAAGTCCCAGAGAATGCGGGGCCCATCTCTAGGGCGTGAGGGAAGCCTGAAGTTGAAAGGCAGAATCAGATTGGGTCTTAAGGCTGGCTTTGATGAGGCCCATAAGCCCCCAAGCAAATCAGATTAACACCTGACTCTTCAAAACAGAACTAGCCACAGGGCATCCCCCTGCCGGTATTTCTGCCCTCATTCTCTCTCATGTGAAATCATGCAGGTAAAATGGGGGTGGCCCAAAGCAAACCAAGGTCAGCTGTGGCCTGTTATCAGAGTCCGGTGTCTCTATCCCCTGTCGTGAGATCAGGTGAGGAGAGGCCCCTCTCCTGGCCCAGCAGCGCCGATGTCGGCAAAAAGGCTCTGGATTGACCTCAGGCCTGGGATCTACTCCAGGTACCGCCTCTGACTTGGGTGTGGCCTTCTGTGAAGGGCTAGCTCAGCGACACCCACAATTGTCTGGTCATGGTTTGACGAGTTAGGAAACACTAGAATAAATATTGTTCTTAGATCCTTCCTACCTCACACATTCTAAAATGGAATGCCTCTATTCGTGGAGCCCAGGGAAGGCTGAATGAGTTGGAGCTGGACTTTTGGCTTTTGAGTGTTTCTTGGTCATGAGCAAGGTCGTGGTCTCGGAGAGGGGTGGGGTGGGGTGAGGCTGACTCAGCCCCATAGTGGGGGCAGCAGTTACAGCCCATCCAAGCAGAAAACTCTCTGATCCTTCAAAGCAATGTCAGAGCAGGCTGGGGGTGGGGGAAGGCTGTTTCTCAGCCCTCTGTCTCAGGAGAGGCTCTGTGAGGCCAGGCCTAGGTGGACGGTGAGGGCCATGGTGCCCGCCCCGGCTGCGATTGGGGCAGTGGTTTGTTATGGTGAGGGAGGCAGGCTCCTGAATGCACTGGCCTGGCAGAGCGAGGATTTTTATTTCAGCTGCTCCAGCAGGGCCTGGAGGCTGGGCTGTGATTCCCCAGAGAGAGAGAGAGAGAGAGAGAGGAGGCAGGCAGCAGTGGAGGGTGTGCTGGGCAACCTCCCGAGTACTGCCCGTGAGGGGCCTCTGGAGGGAGTGGGACTGATGGGGAACAAGAAGACAAGGCCTCTGGAGGAGACTCATCACATTATATTCTTACTGCCTCTGCTCTTGGGGGCAGCATCTGGTCTGCCTCGGTACTGTCCAGTCCAGGACCTGCCTATCACTGGTGGGTGTTCATGAAGCATGAAGGAGAAAGGGTCAAGGGCACTCAGAGGACCGGCTAGTGTATCTGGCAGGGAGGGGGGTGGAAGGAAGGAGTCCCAAGCCTGGAGGGGCCTGGCTTGCATCTGTGGGAGGCAGCTCTGGGAGCTGAGCCAGGTGTGAACCCACTGCCCCTGGGAGGGGAGGCGCCAGGCCGGTGCCCGCCGAGCCTATTAGCTGGAGCCTGCATTTATTGGCAGGAGATGCTCTCCACCCCTGGTGGACAAAGGGGCCGAGGGACACTTCTGCTTGGTTATTTCTTTATAGCCTCTGGGTCAGCCGTCTGTTGTGAAAGCCTGTCCCCTGTGGCTAGAGTACTGGGGGCAAGAGGGAAGCCGGCCGTTCTATAGAGCTGCAGCCCTGCCCGGGGTGCAGCCTCCTGAATAATTCTTAAGAGAGCAGTGCCCCCGGTCGTGGATAGGGCGCCAGGAGGCCCGGTCTGCGTCCTGGGGCTGTCTCTGGAGACTTGGGACACTGGGCGCATCATTCAGTTCCTTCTCTGTCAGACGGAGGTGATACCAGGTAAGGTTGCTCTGGTGATTAGAGGCCAGGGGGTGAAGTGTCAGGGAAATGACCGATATCTGTGAGGCCTTGGAGCCTGGCTGCCTAAGGTACTGAATGTCATTCCTTGATCACCAGCTTTAGCCCACCTGGGAGTTCATGAGGAATGCACCCCACCCCAGGTGTCCTGAATGGAATTTTAACAAAATCCCCCGGTGATTCAGATGCACCCTTTCCCCCTCTTCAGGATCTTGCCTCTCCTCACCAGCCCTGCCCCCCCGACTCGGGGGTGGGGGGCGGGCAGTGGGTTCACACCTGGGGGAGCTACTGCCAGGCTACTGCTGCTGCCCCAGGGGGCTGCCTCGCTCCACCTCCCTGAGTCAGTGGGTGGTGAGCAGGCTTGGGCGGGTGGGGGGCTGAGCCAGGCTAGGCAGAGGCCTGGCACACAGCACCAAGGCATAATAGGTTGGCTAGCTGCCCTCTGAGATGCAGCCTTCCCTGCTCAGGCCCAAGCAGGAGCTCCCACTGCACCTGTGAGCACAGACCACAGCTGCCGACCAGCCAGTGTGAGGGCCGGCTCGCTGTCGCCCTGACGCCAGATGTGGCAAAGTAGGCTGCGCGTCAGAAGGCTGGGAGGGGACCTGGGACCAGGTCAGGCTAGCTAAGGGCACCGAGTGGTTACGAGGCAAGGCCACAGGGCGGTAGGAGGTGGTGAGCACGGGGGCCAGGCGCAGGTGGAGACCATGGCTGGCCCCTCATCCCTGGCTGGCTCCCGGGCCCAAGCCCTTGCTTGGCGGAGAGGGGTGGCCATGCCACCAAGCCCTGCCGGACTTTGCCTACCTTCACTGTACTCAAGCTGGCTGTTGGCAGGGCAGAAACTGTTAACACACAGCAAACCCTCCTCCTCCAGAACCTCCTCAGCGGAACAGTGACCCTTCCACACTCAAGACAGGAACTGAGGGCAAGGGCCTGGGGGAAGTCTTAGCACCCCCAACGCCTGGCTTCCCTTCCCTTTGCAGATACTGAGGACGCTGGGTTTGAGGTGAACCATGAGGGCAGGGGAGCTAGAGAGCCATTTCCTGAGAAGAGCCCAGGCTGTCTCAGCCCAGGGAGGCCAGTCGGAGGGGCTGTTCCACTGGGGTGGGGGGGATGGTGGAAATGGGAGTCATGATGGAAATGGGAGCTAGGGGCTGGTTAGATGGGGCCCCGGGGGTGCAGTGCCCTCCAAACTGGTGTCGGAGCCAGCAGACGAGTCCCGGGAGGAGCGGCCCTGCAGGAAGCGGATGATCTTCTCAATGGTGGCCTCCTGGTACTCGTGGGACCACCTGTGGGTACACAGGCGGCTGGGTCAGAGGGCTGGGCAGAGGGCGCTGCGGGCCGGGGGCCTGGGTAACCCGCCCCGCCCCTCCTCACTTGATGCCATTGAAGGTGAGCACAGCCTGCATGTCCTCCGGCAGGGCCTGGGGCTCTGGCCACTCGAAGCCGTCAATGACAGGCACGATGTTCTTGCCGCAGCTCAAAGCAGTCACGATCTCCTAGAGAAAGAAGAGAAGAGGATGACACTGGGGACCCATCTGGGGGCCCTGGGGCCAGGCAGGCACTGGGAGGGCCAGTAGCCCAAGGCTGAGCCCAGGGTTGGATGCTGGCCCTGAAGTCCACCTTGACTTCTCCCTTACCCGCTATGGTATAATAAATGCACACACACATGTAGATATATGGATGGATATATCTATATATGTATGTGTGTGTGTGTAAATACATATTAATAGATGGGCTTCCTAGGTGGCTCAGTGGTAAAGAATCTGCCTGCAAATGCAAGAGACATGGGTTCGATCCTCGGGTTGGGAAGATCCCCTAGAGAAGGAAATGGCAACCCACTCCAGTATTTTTACTTGGGAAATCCCATGGACCCAGGAGTCCATGGGGTTGCAAAAGTGTTGGACATGACTTAATGACTAAACAACACCAAACATATATACATATTCTTGGCGCAGAGCTCCTGAAGCCCTCTCAGATGACCTGGGGATGGGGATCTGTGCCTAGATAGCTTCAGGATGGGGCCTAGTGGCCAGGAAGAGGAAGCTGTGATTAGAAGGTTGGAACTTTCAGCCTCAGCTCCTCTGCCCCCCAGAGCTCCAGAGAAGAGGGGCTGGATTGAGATGTCACTCGTGACTCAATCGTGCCTACATAATGAAACCTCCATAAAATCCTTAAGGACTGACCAGGTAGGTTGGTGAACACATCTAGGTGCAGAGAAGGGGGCCTGGAGAGGGCATGGAAGGGCATGGAAGCTCCATGCTTCCGCTGCCCACACTCCCAACTCCCCCACCCCCCACTTACCTTGCCCTGTGCATCTCTTGCATTTAAATGTTCCTGAATTGTATTTTTTATATTAATAATCCAGTAATAGTTCTTTCCTGAATTCTGCACATCATCCCAGGTCGCACTAATGGTGAAGAACCCTCCTGCCAATGCAGGAGACATAAAGAGATGAGGGTCTGATCCCTGGGTCTGAAGGATCCCCTGGAGGAGGGCATGGCAACCCACTCCAGTATGCTTGCCTGGAGAATCCCCTGGACAGAGGAGCCAGACAGGCTACAGTCCATGGGGTTGCAAAGAGTCAGACACCACTGAAGTGACTTAGTGTGCATATGTGCACGTCATTCTAGCAAATGAGAGGGGTGGTCATGGGAACCCCCTGAATGAGCAGCCATGGAGTCTGACGCTTGTTCTAGGTGGGTAGTGAGGGTCAGAACTGAATTGAACTGTGGGACAGTCAGCTGTGTGGTGGAGTGGAGAACTAGTTGTTGGTATGGGAAAAAAATCCCAAACAAATTTAGTATCAAGGAGCACATCCCACCCCCTGCATCCAAACTGATCCGTCCTGAGCCCTGCCAGTTGTAGTCCTTACTTATTTCTCAAATCCCCTCATTTTTCTCCACCTCCACCTCCACCACTGCCCTACTCCAACCCTTTATTACCATCCACCCCCACCAGGTCTCTTCTTATCCATTCTTGCCTCCTCTCATTCATCCTCCAAGCTGCCCCTTCACCTGGCAGCTCTTTGCAAAATGGAAATCTTATTGTGTCACCCCCACCTTGGAATTCACGACTTCACATGGCTCTTAGGATAGGGCTCAAGGTTCTGTGTGGTTGTCTGCAACTCACTCCTCAAACTCCACTCTGCTCTGTCCCCTCAGCCACACAGACCTCGCAGCCTCTTAGATATGCCATCCTCCCTCCTTGCACAGGGCCTTTTCGCACGTGCTTCTTTCTCTGTCTAGAACATTCTTCCCTGCCCTCTCACCTAGCTAATACCAACTCATGTTTCTGATCTGAGCTCAATCAGCTTTCTTAGAGAAGTCTTCCCTCACTTCCCTGACCAGATCAGATGCTCCTCTTACAGGCTCTCATAGGCTCTGTAGCACTTGCTACAGTTGGAGATTTAAATTCGCAAGTGAGAAATTTACTTAATATCTTCTCCAACAGACATAAAGGCGGCTGTCTTTTCCACCAGACATAAAGGCGGGGACCATGTCCAGGTTTCAGTCCCCTTGTATCTCCCAATCTTTCACAAAGCCCTGCCCACAGCCTGCCTTTGCTAAATACTTAACAGCCGAGGGGCTGAATGAATGAATATAATAGTACAGCATTTGGGGGTTCCACTCTTGAATCATCAGATCTGTGTTCACATCTGGGTTCTCTGACACAGGCTCTGTTATGTGAGGCAAAAACAACAGGCTCTCAAAGCCTGTTTTCTAATTTCTAAAATAGGGGTAATGATAGTTCCTATCTTGTAGGGTTGTTGGGAGGAATAACTGCTATCCCACGGCAAGTGTTAGACTAGCAGTTAGCATGCAGTGTGTGCTTAATAAATAACAAGTGTTATTATTTCCTCCTCTGTAAAGTGGGGATAATAAAACTTACCTCACCAGGTTGTTCTGAGGATATTGCTATTAATGGGTGCTTGGGTAAGTGCTTATTGAGTGTTTTTTCCTTTCAAGGGGAAACCCCAGAGATTGGACTTTTTGAGTGCTGTTCACTTGTGGTTTTTCATATTGATTACCCGCTATAAATGTGGCTTCGGGGAAAGCAGTTTCAAAACCAGAAGCAATTAAGCACTAAAAACAACCAAGGAGGGATGATGGAACCTTTGGGACTGGTCCAAGGTGAAGGCTCCCACCACCTGCCTGCTCCCCACTCCTTGCAGTTGGCTGGAACAGTGAGGGATATCAAGTACCCTTGTGGAACAGAGCCTTCCTGGGGAAGGAATCTGTGTAACTTCAACCCTGATTGGCTTCTGGGGAACCTCTCCATTTTACAACTGAGAAGAAGGAAGCCCAGCGAAGGGACTTGCTCCCAAGTCACACACATGTGAGCCCAGGGGGGCCCAGACTCAAGCGTTCTGATTCCAAGTCCAAGGCTATTTCAGCCAAGCTGTCTGCCTCTCTGCTGATCACCTGGGTGAATTCTGGCCCTGCAGCAATTTATTGGGGAACCTTCAGACATTTGTTTCATCCAGAATTGAACAGAAGCAAAGACAGGGATCTGTGGTCACTGCACAGATTCAGAGGCTGGCCAAGAGACGACTTGCTCAAGATCACACAGCCAGGTAAGAATGAAAACTGAGTTGAGTCTTCTGACCTAATAAACCTAGTAGCTATGGATAGAGGCCTTGTCTTAAAGCAGTGAAGGAGACAAGAATATGCCCAGAGTGACTAGATCATATATAAACTGGTGTCAGTGTAAAGTCAGGCGGGTAAAATTCTTACTTGCTATAAGAACATGGAGAACAGAAAAAGCATCAAGGGGAGACTTCATGGAGGAAGTCCATTCTCCCGCTCATCTCAGCTTCATCAGAATCATGTTTGATCATTGACTCAATTATTCTATAAAGTCTGCAAGAGCCTACTTTGTCCCATGCATGGTTTTAGGCATCAGGCATGCATCACGAACAAGGCAAGGTTTGTGCTGTCATGGAGCTCACAATGCTCTTCTTTTTCTCTCAGAAGGCTGCCTGCCACCTACTCTAAGCCATGATTCTCCAGGGTGTCTCTCTGACCCAGAATCCCCTCCCCAAACCAAACCCAGTGTTCAGCCCCTCCTATATCCTGGAGTTGGGAAGAGATGCAGACAGTCACTCTGGTGTCAGCTGAATCCACCCCTCAGATCTGAGTCATAGGACAAAGCTGCATCTGAAGAAAGTGCATGGGCTTTGGAGTCAGAGAGACAAGAGTTCAAAGCCCAATTCTGATTTCTGCCCCAGCAGTGTGGCCATGGGAAAAATTATTCTACTTCTCTGAGCCTCAGTTTCTTTATCCATAAAATGAGAAGGCAATACCAGTAATCATGTAGGTTTTTGGCACTTTTCTCATCCCTCCCTTTGTTTTTTGCTCACATTGTTTCCCTGCCTGTGATGCTTTCTCTTCCACTGACATAAAATCTTTAGACTCTTCTCAAGTTCTGCTTCTTCCATGAAGTCTCCCCTGATTTTTCCAGCCCTTGATGCTTTTTCTGTTCTTCATGTTCTTATGGCAAGTAAGAATTTCACCTACCTGACTCTACACTGACACTGACACCAATTTATATATGATCTAGTCATTATGGGCATATTCTTGTCTCCTTCACTGCTTTAAGACAAGGCCTCTATCCATATGACTACTGCTTCCCTTAGCCCTGGTCCCAGTTTCTGCTGACTAATGAGTAATGATTAATAATCTACAGATGTGATACCCATCCATCCATCATCCATCCATTCTATAAGTACTAAATAAGTTTTACTATGTGTTACACACTCAGGATACAATGGGGAATGACACAGTAGTAGTACTCACAATAATTATATTAACAATAATAATTGCTGCCATTATATAGCAATTATGTGCCAGGCATTCTGCTAGGCACTTCACATATTTTAGCTCTTTTAATCCTTATAACACTACCCGAGGGAGGTAGGTACTATAATTATCCCACTTTCCAGTAATAAACATGAAACTCATAGGAATTAAGTAACTTGCCCAAAGCCAGAGCCAGGATTTAAACTCACAGCTTTGCATTCTTAACTTTTCCACTGTGCCTATCACTATGCTTTCTTGCCTCCCTCCCCTCACAGAGGTTATTTTTCAGAGCATGTTGATCCCTCTCTGACCCTCACAAGAGTTCTATGAGGTGAACAGGACAGGTAAGTTATCCCCATTTTGTAGATGAGAAAACTGGGGCTTGGAGAGCTAAGTAAGTTGCTACAGTCCTAATACAGTCACAGTGGTGGCTCCTGACTTCCAGCTGGACTGTGAAAGTTGCTGACATATGCAGACAAGAAAGAGAATACATCACTAGTGGGAAGATGCTATATAACACAGAGAGCCCAGCCTGGCGTTCTGTGATGACCTAGAGGGGTGGGATGTGTGGGAAACTCAAAAGGGAGGTGACATATATATATATATAACTAAGACCGATTCATGTTGTACAGCAGAAGCCAACACAATATTGTAAAGCAATTATCCTCCAATTAAAAAAAAAAAACACTGACAATAGCAGAAACATATAAAAATAAAATAAAATATAAAACAAACAAAGACTGAAAGGGGAACCTGCACCCTGGGCCACAGGCCAATGCTGGGGCCACCGAGGCCAGCACTTACCTTGTGCACCCAGTCCTTGCAGTCGTGGTCTTGCATGCACTTGTCTAGCGCCCCAGCCGACAAAACCAGCACAAAGTTGCGGGCGCCCATGATACTCTGGATGAGCTTGTCCTCGAACTTGCCTGCTTCTAGCTTCTCCACATCGATGAAGACACTGAGGCCATGCAACTGCAGGTGAACCTTCAGGAGGCTGCCAGGAGGTCCAGTGTCACTGCTGAGACCTCACCCCGAGGCCCCAGGCTGCCTGCCGGCCCGCCCCCCTCACCTGGCCAGCTGGGAGCCCGTGTTCCGCCGGTAGCTGATGAAGACATCCGGAGCATCCCCGCTGGGCTTCCCGCCGGTGCAGGGCAGCGGGGAATGTAGCATTTCTGAAGCAGACAAGAGATGGCTTGGTGACGGTGGGCCTTCCCCTTCATTCACCATGAGGTACATCAGCCCCTGCACACCCAGCCCTCTCAGCCCAGCCCAGGCAGAATGGCTTGCTCCCAAAATAGTCAGAGAGGGCTTCCCTGGTGGTCCAATGGTTAAGAAACTGTTGGCTGATGCAGGGGACACAGGTTCAATTCCTGGTCCAGGAAGATCACAGATGCTGCAGGGCAGCTGAGCCTTGAGAGTCACAACTACTGAGCTTGTGCTCTAAAGCCTGTGCTCTGGAACAAGAGAAGCCGCCGCAAAGAGAAGCCCGCGCACTGCAACGAAGAATAGCCCTGCTCACCGCAACTAGAGAAAGCCCACGCAGCAGTGAAGACCCAGACCAGCCAAAAATGAATGAGTAAATAAATAATCCAACTCCAAGTGCATCACTCTCCCCACTTAAAAACTTTCCACGAGTTCCTACTCCCTACAGAAGGTGTTTGTAAGTTATTTTTGCTGAAGCACCCTCTTGTTTTTAAAAAATTAAATCTCAGGGATGTATTGGGAGCTGCAATGTAAAAATGATAGAAATTAATCTGCTTTGGTTCAAGCAAAAGAATGGAGCCAAAGCCCAGTCCCTGTCCCCTGTGCGAGCTTAGTGCATACTTAGTGAATGAATGGATGAATGATAAGATCCATCTTCTTATACTAGTCAGACAACACTCACAATGTTGTCTGTTTATGAGTTAGTAAGACAGAGATTGAAACCCCAGTTGTCATTTAATGACTCTGATAACCTTAGAAAATGTATTTAAATCTTACTTTTATCATCTGTAAAATTAAAATCCATGATGAAAATGTTCTTTATCTTTAATTCTGATAGTGGTTACAGAGGGGTAGGCATTCAAAACTGTTCAAATCGGACACTTTTAAAGTATACCTCTTTTATTCTTTAAAAATAAACGTTTTGAGAGCTGACTTAGGAAAAAATTAACACCCACTGCACAAAATGGATGTAAAGACGGAATAATATCTATTTAAAACTTAATCAGATCTGGTATTGTAAAGTAATTAGCCTCCAACTAATAAAAATAAATGAAAAAAATGCAACAGAAAAAAGAAAAAAACTTAATCAGGGGCTTCCTTTGTGGCGCAGTGAAGAAGAATCTGCCTGCCAATGCAGGGAACACGGATCCGATGCCTATTCTGGGAAGATTCCCCACGACTCAGAGCAACTAAGCCCTTGCGCCTTGAGACACAACTACCGAGCCTGTGTGCCGCAACTACTGAAGCCTGCACATACGAGAGCCTGCGCTCGGCAACAAGAGAAACCACCATGATGAGAAACCTGAGCACCACGATGAATAGCCCAGCTCATCGCAACTAAACTAGAGAAAGTCCACGGGCAGCAGGGAAGACCCAGCACAGCCAAAAATAAAATTTTAAAAACTTAATCAGGACCTGGTCTATAGCAATTGGTGATAAACATTGGCTATATAGTAGACTAGTAAATTAAATAAAATAAATTAATAAATCAAGATGGCTACTAGAACCCTAGAATTCACCCTGACCTCCCTAAAGCACCCACACTTTGTAAGCTGTCGGCTAATAGGATAAGCCCCTGTCTTCCCACCCGCATCCCTTATATGCGGCCCCAGGCTGTCTTACCTCCACACTTGCTCACACTGTTCCCTCCACCTGGACCACTCTTCCTGCTACCACCATCCCCTCTCCCACCCCCAATACAGCCTCCAAGACCTGAGCAGGCCACCCCTCCTCTCCACAGCCCAGGCCTGGGTGCACAGAGTAGGTGGTGCTTCCTCTAGGCTTCCACTGGAGTCCTGGACATGCTACCTGCTGCCCTCATGTGCTTGTTTATAGATCTGCCTTCCTTCCACCCTCCTACCCACCTCAGACTGGGAACTTTTTTTTTGTTTGCAGTAATCACCCACTTGCATTTAAAAACATTTAAGAACATAGGCAAAACATTCTCCGACATAAATCACAGCAGGATCCTCTATGACCCACATCCCAGAATTTTAGAAATAAAAGCAAAAATAAACAAATGGGACCTAATGAAACTTAAAAGCTTTTGCACAACAAAGGAAACTATAAGCAAGGTGAAAAGACAGCCCTCAGATTGGGAGAAAATAATAGCAAACGAAGCAACAGACAAAGGATTAATCTCAAAAATATACAAGCAACTCCTCCAGCTCAACTCCAGAAAAATAAATGACCCAATCAAAAAATGGGCCAAAGAACTCAACAGACATTTCTCCAAGGAAGACATACAGATGGCTAACAAACACATGAAAAGATGCTCAACATCACTCATTATCAGAGAAATGCAAATCAAAACCACAATGAGGTACCATTACACGCCAGTCAGGATGGCTGCTATCCAAAAGTCTACAAGCAATAAATGCTGGAGAGGGTGTGGAGAAAAGGGAACCCTCTTACACTGTTGGTGGGAATGCAAATTAGTACAGCCACTATGGAAAACAGTGTGGAGATTTCTTAAAAAGCTGGAAATAGAACTGCCATATGACCCAGCAATCCCACTTCTGGGCATACACACCAAGGAAACCAGATCTGAAAGAGACACGTGCACCCCAATGTTCATCGCAGCACTGTTTATAATAGCCAGGACATGGAAGCAACCTAGATGCCCATCAGCAGACGAATGGATGAGGAAGCTGTGGTACATATACACCATGGAATATTACTCAGCCATTAAAAAGAATTCATTTGAATCAGTTCTAATGAGATGGATGAAACTGGAGCCCATTATACAGAGTGAAGTAAGCCAGAAAGATAAAGACCATTACAGTATACTAACACATATATATGGAATTTAGAAAGATGGTAACGATAACCCTATATGCAAAACAGAAAAAGAGACTCAGATGTATAGAACAGACTTGTGGACTCTGGGAGAAGGCGAGGGTGGGATGTTTCAAGAGAACAGCATTGAAACATGTATATTATCTAGGGTGAAACAGATCACCAGCCCAGGTTGGGTGCATGAGACAAGTGCTCGGGCCTGGTGCACTGGGAAGACCCAGAGGGATCGGGTGGAGAGGGAGGTGGGAGGGGGGACTGGGATGGGGAATACATGTAAATCCATGGCTAATTCATTTCAATGTATGACAAAAACTACTGTAATGATGTAAAGTAATTAGCCTCCAACTAATAAAAATAAATGGAAAAAAAAAATAACAACAACAAAAAAATTTTTATCACCCCGTCAGCTCTTTATACTAAAAATTTTAGAGTAGAAAAGTCATACGGTATACTTCTTGTGTCAAGCTTGCGCTGATTATGTTTACGAGATTTGTAAACACTGTGGGTGGAGTTCATTTATTTCCATTGCTGTCTCAATTTCCTTTGTATGCAAATACCACCAGTGATGGTCATTTAGGTTGTTTCTAGTTTGGGGCTATGAGAAACATAACTGCTCAGACCAGGAACTTCTTGAGGGCAAAGTGCCTGTTAGCCACTCAGCTGAGTCCATTCTTTGCAACCCCTGTGGACTGCAGCCCACCAGGCTCCTCTGGCCATGGAATTCTCCAGGCAAGAATACTGGAGTGGGTAGCCAGTCCCTTCTCCAGGGGATCTTCCCGACTCAGGGATCAATCAATCAATCCGCAGTGAGGCTCCAAGTCCCCATGGTGCGTCTCCCCTCACCCCTCCAGGGCTGGCACTGGGGCCGGAGCTGGGGCAGGGGTGGGGACCCCAGTGGGCAGGCTCACCTCTGGCGGCCGTGAGGATGCGGGCGCGGTGCACGCCCAGGTGGACGCCACAGTCCTCCAGGAGCTGCTGCTCGGACACGCGGTGCAACAGCGAGCGGTCCAGGCCGCAGCTGACCAGGCCGTAGGTGTACTGGCGGAAGCGCGGGTCCAGGCTGCCCAGCCAGTCAGCCAGGTTGCTGCGATCGCACGTAGCGTAGTTGGCGAAGGTCTTGAGCTCCGTGAGCTCCCGGAGGAACCTGCACCCAAGGGAGGAGAGGATGCCGAGGTCTTGACTAGGGAGCGAAGGGGGCATAACAACCAGCGGTCTGGAGGCTCCATACCTCTTGCGGGTGATGCCCGACTTCATGCCCAGGTCGGTCTGGAGTTCCTCGTCGGTGAGCCGCAGAAGCAGGTCTCCATCTACCTGCTGCTCCTGGAGGAGGGGTCAGACGTGAGGTGAGACCCCTCCCTCCTCAGCCTGTGGACCCCACCCAGCACAAGATCAAGGGGAGGGAACCGGAGATGGCGCTGAGGGAGGCGGACGGGACCCAGATGAGAACCGTAAGACCCCGAAAATGGCTGAGTACAGGATTCCCACCCCCAGGAGTCCACCCCGGGTGCCTCGGGCGAGCGGTGCCGGGATGGGGTGCTGTCGCCTGTAAATTCAGGGCGCCCCTAGAGGCCACGCGGCCCTCCGGGATGCGCTTGCTCCGACTGCCGGCCGGCGACCCCGTGCGGCTCTACCCGGAAATTCTCGCAGTACTGGGAGAAGCCGATCTGCTGCAGCCAGGTCTGGACCTCGGCTTCCTTCCAGCTGGGAACGCTGGGCAGGATGCGCCGCGGCACCTCCTCGCCCAGCAGGCGCAGTGCGCGCTTGGCCAGCGCCGACGTGGTGCCGTTAGTGGAGTAGGAGACGAGGCGTTTCAGGCTCTGGATGGCACCTATGTCGCTGAATACCTGGGGAAAGTGTGGGGAGAGGATGTCTTGGACCAACCAAATCACCCACCAGCCGCCCGAACATGCCTGGTCCCTCCCCTCACCTCTTCTCCCCCCTGTAACCACACTGCCTCCCCTTGCCCTGCCTTCACCCAATAAATCACTGAGACTTACGGATTTCCCCTCCTGTTGCTGTTGTTGTGTTCAGTCGCCCAGTCATGTCTGACTCTTTGCGACCCCATGGACTGCAGCGTGCCAGGTGTCCCTGTCCCCTACCATCTCCCGAAGTTTGCCCAAGTTCATGTCCATTGCATCGATGATGCCATCCAGCCACCTCATCCTCTGATGCCCTACTCTCCTGCTCTCAATCTTTCCCAGCATCAGGGACTTTTCCAATGAGTCAGCTGTTCTCATCAGGTGATCCCTTCATCTCTTCTCCCCACTGAAACCACACTGTCTCCCCTTGCCCTGACTTCATCCAATAAATCACCAAGTATTGTGGACTCCCCACCCTGAAGCTCTCTCAGCTATTCACCAGGTCCCTCTCAGGTCTCCCCTCGACAACTTCTACTGCCCTGGGATAAAGTCTAGATCTCAGTACGGCTGCCAGCTTGGGCACGGTGCAGCCCCCGCCCACCAATCCCTCCTCCTCCCACCCCTCCTCCTCCCGTCCCCTTTCACCAAACTACCCACCCATGGAGGCTTTCCCTCCTCTGGGCCTCAGCTGTGCTATTTCCAGACCTGTAGTTTTACCAGCCTGCTTGTGGGAATTCTGCTCATCTATTGGATCCAAATTGGTTGGCACCTCCGCCATGTAGCCTGCTTTGATTCCGTCACAGCTGGGCCCATACCTCCAATTAGGCCTTGTGCCACACTCTGAATGCCATTGTTGTTAACTGACAGTGCAACTTCCACTGGACTGGAAGCTGAGGTCATGTCTTAATCACCCTTAGAGTCCCCAAACTGGCACACTGCAGGGGACTCACTGTGTCTTTATTAGACGGTTCTCACTTGGCCTTGCTGGGAAAGACGTACCAGAATTGGTGGTCGAGGCTTCCGCCCAGACCCACTCCTTGGGGTCCTCACTCTGTGCTTCCCTTTAAACCCCTCCTCCCAAAGCAGAATGGCCTGCTTTGTAACACCAGTCCTCCCATGGCCCCTCTCTGGGGTGCAGAGAGGAGAATCAGAAGCTCCTAGAACACCAGACCTTGGGAAAGGCCTCAGAGACCCCTAACACAATGGTCTCTTCTGGATCTATGGGAATACACAAAATGGGTGACAATCACCAGTGAGACATATTCCTCTGATGTCCCCTGTCCAGCCCCAGATGACTACGGTCATACAGACAGGGTCTGTCCATGCAGTGTGCACCATTCTCTGTGCACCAGGGGTCACTAACCCCCAAACCTCCAGAGGCATACAAAGGAAGAATAGTGATGTTATGTGAAAGTAAAAGTCACTCAGTCATGTCCAACTCTTTGCAACCCAATGGACTGTAGCCTGCCAGGCTCCTCCAACCACGGGATTTTCCAGGCTAGAATACTGGAGTGGGTTGCCATTTCCTTCTCCAGGGGATCTTCCTCACCCAGGGATCAAACCTGGGTCTTCTGCATTGCAGGCAGACTCTTTACCTTCTATCATATTTAAAAAACAAATCCTAAAAACTTTTGATAATTTAACTATTAGTAGTCTCACATCCAGGGTAAAAACAGCTGCTGTGGTCTACTCCTTCAATTTTTCAGAGGACAAAAATAGACATATAAAGGCCCAAGCCTTCCCTGCAGTCAAGTGGTTAAGACTCCAGGCTTCCACTGCAGGGACGTAGTTCAATCCCTGGTCAGGAAAGTGCTGCTTGCCATGAGTTTTAGCCAAAAATTTTAAAAAGGCCCAGAGAGAGGGGAAGCCAGGTACTCAAGGTCACGCAGCAAGTTAAAGTAGAGGGCAAAGGCTATGGATCAGGCCCTGAGATTGGGAACCCCTTGGGACTCAGGTGGAGTGCTCTAGCTGACACACAGATGTCCTGCCCCAAAACTGTGTCTCTATACTTCATCTCCTTCCTAAACTCCAGAGCCAAATAGACCAAATGGCCCACTGGAGTGCCCCAGCTGGTCATTTCTGAGGCACTTCAAACTCCAGGTGTCCCAGTGAATTCACTTTCTGCCTACCCCCAACCTGTCTCACTGAGTTTACCTTATTTCAGTACCGGGTGCCATCATCCACTGGGTAGGCTATGTCCAAAGCCAGGAGCCATCCTCAGATCCTTCTTCTTCTTCACCCAGCGACCCAGCAAGTCTTAATTCTCTCTCTTCTGTACCTCTGGAATCTGTCTACTCTCTCTGCCTCTGCTATCATGCCCCGGACCTCCACCATCCCATGCCTCCTGCCATGGCCTCCTATCTGACCCCCTGGGCTCCAGCCTCACCCTTAGCAACAACAACTCCTTGTAGCTGTCAGGAAGGTCTTTGTCAAACGCTGGCGTCCTCCGTGTAAAACCTTGGTCTTGCCTTCAAGGCCACAATGACTAGCTTCTAATCTTTCTCCCTATTTCACCTAACCCTTATGTATACTTCAAGTCCCAGTTTAATGTCATTTCTTCCAGGAAGCCTTCCCAGATTCTGTCTAACCCCCATCCCTACTCCACCCTACACCCGCACCCACCTTGGTCTTGCCCTGCAGACTCTTGATGGCTGCCTCCGCACAGAGATAGAAAGCCCCGATGCACTGTGCCTCCAAGCGCGAAGAGTCGAGCAGCGGCACCAGACGCTGCAGGTCGTCGGGGGCGCGACCCTGGCTGGTGTCACTGGCGTCCACCATGCAGCGGGCAAAGCGCCCGGGGTCCAGCGAGGCCACGAGCGGCTCCACGAGGTCCAGCGTGCCGGAGCGCTCCACCTCGCGCTCCACCTCCTTGTTGGTGGCCAGCACGGCCACGGCCAGGCAGGCATGCAGGCGCAGCAGCTCGTCCTCCTTGGAGAAGGCGAGCGGGAAGAGCCACTCGGCGGCACGCTTCTCCACCATGCGCCGCTGCGCCGCCTGGCCCCCGTGCAGCGCGCAGTTGGCCAGCGCCAGCGCGCAGTGGCGCAGCAGCGCCTGGTCCGTGCGGCGGCACCAGTACAGCACCGCGTCCAGGCCGCCGGCTGCCACCAGCTTCTGGCACGTCTCCTCCGAGTGCTTGAACATGTGCTCCAAGATGCCGGCCACGCTGCGCGCCAGCTCCACCGGCTCACGCTCCTTTGCCAGGTTCAGGATCACGCCCAGTCCGATGCGCGCCACGCGGTCCCTGTGGAGAGAAAACAGGAGGGAGATGTGGAGTTGCCGTGGCCTGGGGTGCTTGTCTTAACCTCATGGGGGTCACAGCCTCGTCAGTTATCCGCTCTGGGCCTCACTATAGTGTCAAATAGGACGTGAGTCTGGTCCTCCCTGCCTCCCTCACCTCCCTCACTTCCTGCTTTGGTGCTGTGTGCTTAGTTGCTCAGTTGTGTCTGACTCTTGGCGACCCCATGGATTGCAGCCCACCAGGCTCCTCTGTCCATGTCCATGGGGATTCTCCAGGCAAGAATACTGGAGTGGCTTGCCATGCCCTCCTCCAGAGGATCGTCCCAACCTAGGTCTCCTGCATTGCAGGTGGATTCTTTATCTACTGAGCCACCAGGGAGAACCAGACTTCTCTGATTATAAAGATACTCCATCCTGGCCACGGGCTTTCCAGGTGGCGATAGTGGTAAAGAACCTGCCTGCCAATGCAGGAGAAGATAGAGACTCAGGTTCAACCCCTGGGTTGGTTTGATCCCCTAGAGGAGGGCATGGTAACCCACTCCAGTATTCTTGCCTGGAGAATCCCATGGATAGAGGAGCCTGGCCAGCTACAGTCCATAGGGTCACAAAGAGTCGGACATGACTGAATGCTTACATGCATTAGTAAGCATTGCATGCTTGCATGCATCCTGGTCGCATCCATTTCCTCCAGGACACATTTTCCTGGAATAGCAGTATGTGGGGTGGTTTAAGAATTCTAGCTCTAGGGACTTCTGTGGTGGTCCAGTGGCTAAGACTCCGCACTTCCAATGCAGGGGGCTGGGGTTCGATCCTGGTCAGGGAATTGGATCCCACTTGCTGCAACTAAGAGTTAACATGCCAAAACTAAAGATTCCACATGCTGCAAGGAAGACTGAAGAGCCTGCATTCTGCAACTAAGACCCAGCTGAGCCAAAAAACGAAATAAAATAGTTTTAAAAATTCTAGCTCTAGAGCAGATCCCCGGGTCCTGGTAACTTCTCTATCATATACTAGCTGTGGGACCTTGTGTACCTTTCTTTATTCTTATCCTCATCTCATTAACAAGATAGAAACAATTCCTACCCCTAGGATTATTATGAGACCAATGTAATAATCCATGTAAAGTTCTTGGCACAGTACCTGACTCATGGAAAAGACTCTATAAATGTTAACTTTTTATCATTTGAAGTGTCACTTGAAATACCTATTCTTGGACTTGCCTTCTAATTTCTCTTCACTCTATGCTCTGTGACTGGAGTGTATTTATTTATTCATTTAACAGATCATTTATTGAGGACTTACATGTGCCAGGCACTGCACTGTGGGCTAAAGTTAAACAGTGACAAAGAGAGACTGGAGTTTATACACAGCTAATATGGAGACAAATGGTAAAGTAAACAACGCGTGAACAGAATAACAGTTATCTGATCAAAATGATAGCAAAACCAGGTGATGTAATGGAGAGTGCTTGGGCAGAGGGATGTGTCTGAGGAGGTGACATCTGAGAGTTAAATGTCCAGAGACCCCTGCTTGCAAGTATCTGGAAGAAAAACATAAGAAGCAGAGAGAACAGCAAGAACAAAAGCCCCAAAGCCTGATGAGCATGGCATATTCCAGGAAGAGAAAGAAGGTCAGAGATATCTGCAATGTCTAAAACCAACAAGGAAAGATATAAAATCAACAAGGGATTCACATGTAGAAAGGATATATAAATAAATATTCAAATCAACATGCCAAAGGCGGTAAATCCAGCAGAAAAGGAGTGAAAGATACAGCTGGGCAGTTTACAAAAGGAAATTCAGAACATTAACAAGCAAATAAAGAGATGCTCTAATTCATTAGTAATCAGAGAAATAAACATTAAAACAGCTGCTGTCACTTTACACCCATGAACGGGACAAAAAGCAGAAATTACTTCAAGTGGTTGAGTTGGAAGTTTCAAGGGAAGAGTGAGGAAAGAGTTCTGGGGGTCTTTTGAGCCAGCTCAAAACATTCGGACTTCATCTTTCTAAAAAAGTTTTTGTTCATTTATTTATTTATTTGTATTTTAGATTGTGTTGGGTTTTTTTGTTGTTGTTGCACACAGGCTTCTTCTCTAGTGTGACAAGCGGGATCTACTTTCTAGTTGTGGTGTAAGGACTTCTTGCTGCCGTGGCTTCTCTTGTTGCGGAGCTCCAGGTGCACGGGCTTCAGTAGTTGTGGTACTGGGACTTAGTTGCCCCAAGGCATATGGGATCTTCCCAGACCAGGGATCGAACCGGTATCCTCTGCATTGCAAGGCAGATTCTTAACCACTAGACCACCAGGGAAGCCCCTGAGCTTCATTTTGACAGCAAATGGGGAGCCACTGAAAGGCTTCAGGAAGGGGAGTGACCTGGTAACACATGGATTTTAGGAAACTCGTTCTGGCTGTTGTGGGGAGGACAGTCAAAGGGAGAGAGCTTGGAGGCCAGGAGAGCAGGCAGGAGAGTTGTCACACTCCAAGCAGAGGTGAAAGTGTCCTGTCTTCCTGACTTCCACCAGTGATGCCCCTCAAAGACTTACATGCCCCACCGGCCATCGAGCCCTTGCCAGGGAGCATCACGGTGACCACAGTGCTTGTGACTGTGTCCACTGCAGGGCCCAGCGGAGCCCAGAACATGGCCTGAGGCCAGGACAGCTTTGCTGATCTGATCACTGAGCTTCTCTGCAGCCCAAAGGAACAGATGGGTTCCAGTCATCCCCTCGGGCAGTCAGCACTATAGTTGTTCCTTTAACCAATGAGAAAGCCAAAGCTCAGAGACGTTACATGGCATGCCCAGGGTTACACAGTTGGCGGGAGGCGCGGCTAGGATTTGAGTTCACATCTGTTTGTCTTCAGGGCTCAAGATCCTTCATCAGCACTTTGTGCTTCCAGAACAATCTGACTACATACACTCCAAGTTTATCAGAGCCAGGAACTGCTCAAGAAATCATCTAATCCAACAACACCCTCATTCCTGAGGCTCAGTGAAGGGAAGGGCATGTTGAAAAACAGCAATTCAGAGAGAGAACTTTATTTATTTATTTATTAGGAATTCTATAAGAACTTTATTTTACTTTTTGGTGAGAACCATTTTTAAAGTCTTTATTGAATTTGTAATAATGCTGTTTTCTCTTTTTTTGTCATGCAGCTTGCAAGCTCTCAGCTCCCCAACCAGGGACTGCACTCAGGTCATGGCAATGAAAGCCTGGGATCCTAACCACCAGGCCACTAGAGAACTCCTAAGTTTTCATTTCATGAACCTCAGCCCTCATCTTTCTCTATGCACTTGGCATCTTTATAGAGTTGAACTCTGTGCTTGTTGTGAGAATTATTCACTCAATTCCCAATTCTTCTGTAGCCTGAGAGGCTGTAAGTCTGGGTTCAAATCACAACTCCAAAGGAGGGGTAAACTGTACCCATATACACACAGACAAGCCTGTATATATATTGATAATATACACATATATGCAAGTGCTTGTATGTGTACAGATTTGGCAAAGACACAAGAAACTCATGTCTCCAATTTGCCTCCAGGGAAGGGGCCTGGATAGACAGAATGTTTAAGTGCGTACCCTTTTTGTACTTTGCATTCGAATTTAAATGCAATAGTTTCCCCCCCCCCCCCTTCTTTCTTTTTTAAAACCCATCCCCTTCACTCATTCACTGTGCATTCTTGGAAAAGTCACTTGCCTCATTATGGTCTTCTGAAGGGGGCAGGCTGTGATTTTATTTATTTATTTTTAAATATTCATTTATTTACTTGGCTGTGTCAGGTTTTAGTTGCAGCATGCGGGACAGGGGATCCAGTAGCTCTGAGGCATGTGGGATCTTAGTTCTCGGACCAGGGATCAAACCTTCATGCCTGAATTGTCAGGTGGATTCTTAACCGCTGGACCACTAGGGAAGTCGCCAGGTTGCGACTTTGGAGGACTAGCAGTGAGAGTGTGGTGGGACCAGGCTCAGAGGGCCTTACCCTGTCAGGCTTTTCCTGGTATTTCAGGGTCAATGAAGCTGTGACCTAAGCCCCCAGGCAGTAAGTGTCGCAGCACCCTGGGGAGAAGAGAGCTGCAGCAAAGAGAATGGCAAAAGGAGTGGATACACAGATGGAAGAACCTGGTTGGTGGAGGAAGGAAAAGATTTCATATACACAAATTCTCAATGTGTCACCACAGTCCTTCCCTTCTTGCCCTTCCAGCCTCCTCTCTAAGTAGGGGTGGGGAAATTCTGCCTTCCTCTGTAAGGATTTTGATCAGGACCTGGCTCACTGGGTTCTGTCCTTGGTCCTGAAGTGATGCCAACTGGCATGTTATTTCTTGGAACCAGAGACACTGGTTAGTGTGACTCCTCTTTCAGTAATCCCAAACTAGGTGAAGATTGTTTTCAACTTTGAAAAATAGTGCTATTTGCATCTTGCAGCCCTCCTTTTCTTAGGGTGTTGGCTGTTGCACCCTTTCTGTAAGAGTTCAGGTTAGAGCTGCCCCATCCCACATACAGGACACACCCTTGGGCCCTGGCCTATCACATCCAGTGAGCGCCTGTCCATCTGCTAGCCCTTCACATTCACAGCCCATCTCCATCAGGAAGATTAATGACATACTGAACAACCCTAACTTGGTCTCCCAACTTAAACTGCTTTATTCATGCATTTTCGACAGTTGTATCATTTCCACCAACCACAAGGCTATCTTTACTTTTTGAAAATGCCCGTTATCCACATCCATCACACTTGTGAGAGCTTCATAAATGGTCAGCAACCCGTCCAAACCCTTCTAAACCTGAGGGGTCTGAGAATCCAGTGTGAGACTGGAATGTGAAAGTCTAGTCTGCTCCGGCATGAGACGGGAGAGAAAGTGAGTCAGGGATCCTCATATTCCAGGAGAGATTCCAAGAGACAGTAAAGAGGGGCCACCAGGCTTCAGTTGGACCCCACCTGCTATATCTTTGTTCATGTGGGGAAGATGTAGTTGCCTAGCTCCACACTTTAGTTCCCCCTTCCCCCACCCATCATCCCAACTGAAAACCTCCTGTTCCCCATTAGCAGGCAGAGCATGAGATCATGTCTGCCTGTGACATGAAGCAAAACGAAAAGGGAGAAAGCAGGAAGTGGATTAGGGGTGACATGAAGGCAGCAAGTAACCTTAGGTTAGCACTCATTTCAGCCTGGGAAGAGAGGAAAGGTATTCCCCGCTCCTGTTTTCTGAGCAATGTGTCCTCCTCCTCTCTTAGTTGGAGGGAGATGGTATGGCAGAGTGAAGGTAACACAGAAGGATATCCAGTCCAAGGAGAGAAGGGCTGTGGGTTCAGAGGATCCCACCTACATCCTCAGAACCAGGGACAGATTCACGACCTACTACTCCACTCCTCCTCTCCCTGTCTCATTCCTCACCCCACCAGCTCTGGGAGTGAATGCTGACTGCACCATTGTTTCCCTCTGTGACTGCTGTACAAGTCATTAAACTCTTCCACGACTCAGTTTCTTCATCTGTAAAATGGACACGCTGGTTCTCAACAGGGATATAATGCAAGGATTTGTGAGGTGAGGCAGGAAAGGCACAGTGCGAGGCACTGGAGACCCAGGTGACCCCACATCCCGTGGCGCCCTCCGCCCCAGCCCGGCCCCCTCACCGGTTCTCGGCCACCAGGATCTGCTCCAGCAGGCGGGCAGCCTGCACGCGCGTCTCCAGCTCTGGCGCCTGAAGCAGGCGTAGCAGCAGGTCCAGGCCACCGTCCAGGCGGATAGCGTCGCACAGGCCTTGGGCTACCTCGCGGCCCATGGCTGGTAGCAGCCAGGCCTCCTCGACAAGCTGGAAAACTTCGGTTAGGCCGGCTCCCAAGGCCCGCATGCTGCCTGCCTGCTTCAGCGCCGACAGCGCCTGCTGCAGCTCGGGCAGTGCGCGCTCCAGGGCGCCCTGCACCTCGGTGCTTGCCCCCGGCGATAACTCGCGGGGCCTGCGGCCGCCCGCCACCCACCATTGGCTCGCACGGCCACCCCCGTCCGGCCCCGGCACCGCTAGCCGCTCGGCATCCGGCCGTGGGCCAGACATGGCGAAGAAACGGCAGAGCTTGTAGGCGGAGAGCAGCAGCGTCAGGACCATGGGCGCGGGGCTGCGGGGGACATCCCCTGCCTGGAGGGGCGGGGCCGGGCGGAGCGACCCAGAGCTTGGAAAAAGGAGGACGCGAGAGCGGAGCCGGGGGGAAGATGATGCAGGAGGGAGGGTGGAGAGAAGGGGACCAGGCAAGGGCTCCGAACAGAAGTTTGGGGGAAAGGGTGAGCGCAGGACCTGGGACGAAGAGGTTGGGGTGGGGGACACAGGGCCCAGCTGTCGGGGACAGGCGGGAGGAGAGAGCGGGAAAGGCTAGGAAGTTGGACCCAGGCGCGGGAGGGTTTAGGAGGCAGCAACTAGAACAAAGAGTGGCTCCAGTTCCTGCTAGGTTCGCTGAGATGCTCTGCAGCAGCCCCACCCCCGAGAAGCGGCGGACCGCAAGCCCACGCCCCTACTCTGAGTCGGCCCGGGCTCCTCCCCTGCCGCCTGCGTAGCTCCACCCCCAAGTCTTCCCCAGCCACGCCCACACTCTGGCCAAGCCTCTCCCTGCCGTCGTGTTCTCTGCCTCCTCAACTGGGTTCAGAGGTGGAGGGGCGTAGACTCAAATTTCTGTCCACTCAGTCGGTGATGCTATCTAACCATCTCAGCCTCTGTCGCCCCAGTTTTACGCTGGAATGACGCTAGACTGTGAGGGAAACAAGACTGAGTGTGCCCTTGTCCTACTAACGGTTAATGCAATCATAATAACAATTCTTGAGACACCTTATGCTTCTCAGTTAAGTCTTCATCATGCCTACGAGGTAGAAATTAGTGCTCCCATTTAACAGCCAAACCGACTGAGGTCCATAGAGAAGATTGCTCAAAGGCACACTCCCCTCTTATTTGTTGTTGTTCAATTGCTAAGTACTTTCGGGATCTTTGCAACCCCATGGACTGCAGCGTGCCATATACCTCTGTCCTCCACCATCTCCCGGAGTATGCTCAAGTTTACGTCCATTGAGTTGGTGATGCTATCTAATCATCTCATCCTCTGTCGCCCCTTTCTCCTTCTGCTTCCAATCTTTCCCAGCATCAGGGTCTTTTCCCCTCCGATTAGAGAACAGAAAAAATCAGTGAAATCTCTGAGAACAACTTACTCCAGGTGGTGGGAGGACTTGAGGAGGTCCATAGACCCCTCAAAGTGGGCATGAAATCAGGCATTCTGTGCCAAGTGAGCATTTTCTGGGTAGAGGGATCTTATTTCTCACGAGAGCTTAAAAGTGTGGGAAACAGGACCAAAACTGTTACCTATGGGAAAGGATGAGGTTGGAGGTGGATTGTGGCCTGCTGAGAAGAAGTAAATTAGTAAAGGACTCAGGAATCTTATCCACTACAAAGGGTTAATATTCACCCAATGGACTGTGCAGAGAAGACTGGCCTGGGGAAATCAATGTACCCTAGAGATGAACCCAGAAATGAAAACTTTGTTCTTTTATGATAAAAAAAATTTCCCAGCTCCTACCACCTCTTACACAAGGGGTGAGTGAACTACCCAGCCAGAGATGTGCCTCATCAAACAGATCACAGATCAATAACCACTGCAGTAGAATGAAATTGGGGCTGCTCCAGGAGTTGGACTTCTTGTCGGCTTTAGCTCCCAACACCCTATGAGGCAAATATGATTAGTCTCATTTGCCTGAAAAGAGAACTAAGGTGGGTAAAGCGGCTTGCCCAAGGTCACACAGCCAGTGGATCGGCAGGGTGGGACTTCTTTCTGTGCTCCAGGTTCACTGCGCTGGTCCTCTTCAGAGAGGTCCCTGAGCTTGGCAAGGATTCTGTTCGCAGCTGTCCCAGACCCACAGTTCTAGGAGCATGACCCTTTGCTGCAATAGCCTCTGGGGTCGGGGCACTGGGGGCTGGGCTGGAGGTGGAGCAAACAGATTAGTAGAAAAGGCAGCGCCTCTTCTCTGGTTCGCCCACCTCCACTCCCTGTCTCTCCGCTTCCTCCTTTTTTCAGGCATCAAAGCAGAAACCGCAGGAACCTATTCACCAGGCTGGAGGCTGGAGGCCCCGCCATGATATCCCGGAGGCCCCTTCTGATGCTGGCCCTGCTGGCATGGGCTGCTGTGGCTGACCAAGGTGCGGGGGGATGTTGGTGGCCATTGGGGTCAAGGTAGGCTGGGAAAGGGTGGCCTGGGCTTGGCCGTGCCAGCTGACACCCGCTCCTCACAGAGTCCTGCAAGGGCCGCTGCGCCGAGGGCTTCAACGCCACCAGGAAGTGTCAGTGTGACGAGCTCTGTTCTTACTACCAGAGCTGCTGTGCCGACTTCATGGCCGAGTGCAAGCCCCAAGGTGCGTGCAGAGCGGCTGGGCGGGCCTGGGGTCGCCGGTGCAGCTGGAGGCTCACCGCCACCCTCCCTGCCCGCAGTGACTCGTGGGGATGTGTTCCATCTGCCAGAAGATGAGTACAGGTTCTATGACTACAACGAAGAGCAGACAGTCAACCTCAGCGTTGAAGCGCAGCCCGAGAGCCCTACCCTGGCCCCCGTTCTGCAGGCCCAGACCCAAGAGACTCCTGTCCAGGCACCGGTTCTCAGCCCTGAGAAAGAGGCCCCACTACTTGGGCGGGGAGACTCAGAGCCTGAAGTGGAGACCAGTGACCCAGAGATCTCTGAGTCCCCAGCAGAGGAGGAAACGTGCAGTGGGAAACCCTTCGATGCCTTCACCGACCTCAAGAACGGTTCCCTCTTTGCCTTCCGAGGTGACTCGAGGGGGGCAGGACTTGGGGGTAGGGGTCTGTCCCAGGGGCATCCCCCCTCACACGACATCCCTCCCTCCAGGGCTGTACTGCTATGAGCTGGATGAAAAGGCAGTGAGGCCTGGATACCCCAAACTCATCCAAGATGTCTGGGGCATCGAGGGGCCCATTGATGCTGCCTTCACCCGTGTCAACTGTCAGGGAAAGACATACCTCTTCAAGGTGCCAGGCCCAGGGGGCTGTGGGTCAGGGTTGAGAGTATCTGGGTAGCGGTTGAGAGCGGCTGTGCCCAGGACCAGCGTGGGCAAGGAGGCTGGATTCGGCCTGTGGTCCCTGGCTGGGGCTCTGTGAGCACATAAAAGCTCAAGGCTTCAGCTCCTGAGCAACAAGCTTGGAACTAGAGCTGCTCGCTTTGACTGGGGGATTCTGCACCTCTGTGCACAGCCAACTGCCTGCCCACCCCCTTCTCCTCCCCACCCCCTTAGGGTAGTCTGTACTGGCGCTTTGAGGACGGTGTCCTGGAGCCTGACTTCCCCCGAAACATCGCGGATGGCTTCAAGGGTATTCCGGATGATGTGGACGCAGCCTTGGCCCTCCCTGCTCACAGCTACAACGGCAGGGAGCGGGTCTACTTCTTCAAGGGTACTCAGGGGTGGGTGGAAGGGTGTGCAGATGGTGGAGCAGTCTTGGGTTTCTTCCACGCTTCACTGGGGACGGGCCTGTGTTTCTCCCCCACCTCCCCTCCACACCCCACCTCCCCTCCACACCCCACCTCCCCTACTCCCACCCACACCGTTAGCTCCCAACTTCCACAGCCTTGGGGCTTTCCAGTCTCGCTCATGGCCACCCCTCCCCAGGCAACCACTACTGGGAATATGTGTTCCAGCAGCAGCCCAGTCAAGAGGAGTGTGAAGGCAGCTCCCAGCCGGCCGCGTTTAAACACTTTGCCCTGATGCAGCGGGACAGCTGGGAGGACATCTTCCGACTTCTCTTCTGGGGTGGTCCCTCTGGTACGGAGGGAGGGTGGGAGGTTGAGTCTTGTTTCCCGGTCCAGGGGGCTGGGAGCCCCCAGGTAGAGGGAGGGCTGGGCCAGCCTGAGAGGCTGCAATTGTGCAGCGATTGATCAAAAGCTGTTTGCTCAGGTTGCTCAGGCCAGACTTTGCTTCTGTTGACGTTGGTGAGGGGAGGCTTGCCTCCACCTGGACCCCACACTTTGGACTTTGCCTAGCACAGCTAGCAGAAGGAGGGGCTGTGACTGGGGCAACCGGGGAGGGCTACGGTGGAGGGAGGCCAGAGGAAAGGCCAGGATGTGGGGCTCTGCCACTAGCCTGATGCCTGTCCTTAGACAAGGCAGACAGCCCATTCTTGGCTGCCAAAGCTCTGCATTCACCCCTTCCTCACTGCAGGTGGTGCTGGACAGCCCCGGCTCATCAGCCGCGACTGGCTTGGTCTGCCGAGACGACTGGATGCGGCCATGGCAGGCCACATCTATGTCTCAGGCTCAGCTCCCAGCTTCCCCCAGGCCAAGATGACTAAGTCTGCGCGCCGCCATCGCAAACGCTACCGCTCGTTGCGGAGCCGTGGCCGAGGCCGTGGCCGTAGCCGCAGTCAGAACCCCTACCGGAGATCTCGGTCCACCTGGCTATCCTGGTTCTCCAGCGAGGAGCTGGGCCTGGGAGCCAACAACTATGATAACTATGAGATGGATTGGCTTGTGCCTGCCACCTGTGAGCCTATCCAGAGTGTCTACTTCTTCTCAGAAGGTGGGAGCCCCTGCTCGCCCTGTAGCTGGTCTGGCTGGGTTGTTCCTGCTGTCCCTGGTCCCTGGGGGCTGACCACAGCCCTTGAGTGGTGACGAGGACCAGGGAGTCCTCGGGTGCCTGGTGGATGTTCACTCACCCTTCCAGGAGACACCCAGGTCTTCTTAGCACAGGATGGGCAGGCTGTGTCTCTCACCCCATCTCCCGACCTCTCTTGCAGACAAGTACTACCGAGTGAACCTTCGCACGCGGCGAGTGGACACTGTGATCCCTCCCTACCCACGCTCCATCGCCCAGTACTGGCTGGGCTGCCCAGTCCCTGGCCATGCGTAGCAGTCTGGGTCCAGACAGCTGGCCTCTGCTGCTCCCTAATCCAGCATCCTCCTTCCAGCTCAATAAAGATCCCTTGACCCTGAGTTTAGGACTATTGTCCTGGGACCTCCCTGGCAGTCCAGTGGTTAAGAAACCAGGGCATGGGTTCAGTTCTTGGTCAGGGATGTAAAATCCCATGTGCCACGTGGTGTGGCCAAAAGAAAAAAAAGGACTCCTGACCTGACCAAGGTGGAGAGGCAGGAGGCAGGGGTCTCTGCCTGGGTAAAGGAGGGGAAGTCGGGCAGTCAGGATGGCTTGGCGGGGGGTGGGGTGGGGGGGACAAAGAAGATCCTCCTTGTGTCCAGCCTGTGTTGGGCTCAGGCCCTCTCAGTGAGCCAGAAAACCTGTTGGGAAAGCCTCATGAATGCAAGCCTTCCTCCCACACCAAGCAGTCCCCAGCAACCCACCAGCAGCTAAGCAGGGACTTGAACCCCTCTTAAGGATGACAGGAGTCACCAAGTCATTCCACCCAGCCCGGGGCTTGTTTTGCCTCTTGTCATTGACCCGGATCTTAGAAGGGGCAGGGGGTCAGGAGGTAGTGGACTGCGGCTTAGCTTTTCTGCCCATCCTGGACCTGAAATGCTGTTGGCTCAGACGCTCAAAAGCCCCTGGGAAGGTGATCACTGTCTCCCCCAAACCTATCCCTACAATGGTGGGGTTTTGAGGTCTCTGTCTTGGGTCTGGGGTGCAGGGCACTGGGGCAGGAAACACAGAGATAGTCAGGGACCGAAAGGAAATTCAAATGCACCCATTTCTTTTGGAAAAGTGGCCCAGAAGACTTCTAAGGACAAGAACACCATAATAACATCTTTCTTAAATGTCAAACATACCTGTGGAACTTCCTCTGGTTCCAAGTTCCTGGACTCTAGGAAGTCCACCTGGGCTCTTAGGGGGCCACGGGAGCAGGCCAAGCTCTAAAGCAGACCCGAGCGTGATCTGGTAGTGACATCTGCTCCCTGTCCTGCTGAGGGGAGGGTGGCTCTGGCTCATCTGCTGTCCCCATCATCCTCCACATCCTATCTAGCTTCCCCAGCCTCATCTCAGTCGTGGGATAGGACTCCACCCAGTCTCCCCCAAAGGCAGCAGGCCCCCCAGGCCCCAGGAAGGGCAGCTGAAGCCCTGGGAGCATCCATGCCTTCCTGGATGGAACCATGGGAGGATTTTCATAAAGTACAGGATTTCAGACATAGACTGCCAGAGTTTGAAGTGTGAGGAATGGGGGATGAGGCCAGCTTCTTTGGTGAAGCCCGGGAGGAGCAGGGTTGCCCCACCCATATTCCCACGAGGCTCCTTTTCCTCCGGGATTCCCCCCTCCTGGAGGCGGGGCCAGGCCTTTGAGCCGGATAAAACCCCACACTCGGAGGGGACTGGTGCGGGCACAGCCTTGGCATGGCCGTCTGGCTCCTTACTCTGCCGGCTCCATGACCAGCCCAGTGGATGCATCTCCAGCAGGTGATCTGGTGGGAAAGGGTGGGCAGGGGGAGGACGTGGGGAAAGTGTGATGGGGCAGGCTGAAGAGGGGTGGGGAGTAGGGGCTTCAGGGTCTACTGGGGGCTTTGAGACTGGGGCGGAGGCTCTCACAGGGAGTCCTGGCTTGACCCCCCACCCCGGCCTGCAGCCTGTGCCAGTGGGTTGGGTCCTCACCGGAGAAAGAGGACCACCTTCAGCAGAGGGCAGCTGCTGGAGCTGGAGCGAGTGTTTGCGGCACGGCCCTACCCCGACATCGGCACCCGTGAGCACCTGGCCCGGGTCACCTCTCTTCCTGAGGCCAAGATACAGGTGAGCTGCGATTACCCGCCTCAGGGTGGGGTGCACGTGCACAGTGAGTTTCTAGGCGTGATCCACAGTCCATTCTCCCCGGGGATCCTGCCTCCAGATTCCGCTTTCCCTGTACCTGGGGGGAGGGGGTGCTGGAACCAGAAGCGGCTCCTTCTTTCCTTACCAGGTGTGGTTCCAGAACCGCAGAGCCAAGAGAATCAAGGATAGAAAGCCAGGAGGCCTAAGCCCCAGGCCTGAGCCTCCCCAGAGGTCCCGTTCTCTTCCGGACACCATCCCGCGGTCCCCGGAGCCCCGGACGCTTGGCCAGCCTCCACCCTCCAACAGCACAGCGCAGGGCTCCTGTGTGTGTCGACAGGCCTCCTGCCCAGCTCCTGGCTTGGGGCCAGGGCAGGGCTGGGTGGGGGCTAAAGCTGCAGCCCCCTGGGCCCCAGTTGGGTCTTCAGGGGCCCACCTCTCTTCTGAGCGAGCTGCTCCCCAGACCTCACTGGGCAGCCTGTCTGACCTCATCTATGCCTCTGCCATTGTCACCAACCTGGATCACTCCTAACCTAGATCTAGGACTTGCAAGACCCCTCCTCTGGCTCCTGTAGCCCACTCTGCCCCTTAAGACTGAACACACCATAAGTGGATCTCCTGAACCCTCCTTTTACACAAGGGAGTTTTCTTACGGGAAGAAAGTATTAGCTCAGGGATACCTCCCTTCCACTGTCCTCCAGACCAGCCTAGATACAGATTCTATGGCGTGATGGGGGCCTGGCTCCTGCTACCTAGCCCCCTCCCCGTCCATCATCTCGACAGGAGGTTCCTACAGAGGGATGAGATAGAAGCCCATGTTTTCCACTTCTGCCAGTTTCCCAATTCTTCTCATCCCAGCTGACAATACCTCCTCCCTCTAAAGGACAATGGACAATTGCCCTGTACCCAAGGACCCTTTAGGCCATTACCTGACTGTTAAGTAAGCTGGGAGATGACTGATCCTAATTTTAGACTGCAAGGACCAGTCCTTTTATAGTTCAGGGCCCCCCTCTCCTGTCCTCCTGCCACCTGGACAAATTAATCAGAGCCATGGATCTGAAGAGGGAGTGATATTAAAGTCATAAAGTAGAAATAGAAGCCCAGGGCTTACGTTGATTTAATTTTCACAAATATGAGATTGGCTGCCCTCTGACCTGGGGCTGCAGAGACAACCTGCAGATTCAGGATGGGGTGGGGAGGAGCGTGCATGTTGGCAGCGTTGGGTTTTGGTATCACTGTCATCTGTAATACCAACTAATCTTCAAATAAAACCCCAACTCTATACCTTAATCTGGATTGTTCTGTGCTGCAAATGAACTGGGATGGGGGCCGTTTGCTTTTGAAATTTATCTCCATCACCTAATCCCTAAATAGGGCCAGGTTCCGTGCAGATTTGGGGTGGGCTGTATTACCCATGCTTCTGCTGGGATTAGAGGGAGGAGGGTTAATCGAAGGGCTTAGGGCTCTGGCTGACGGACCCTGGAGAGAAGGGAGCCTCAGCTGCACCCCTTGCTCCTGCGCCCACTTGTTCCAGGACACTCCAGCTCCCTGTGCTTCTGTAGCTGCTCAGCTTCTGGAGCTTGGAGTTTGCGATTGGTCTGTGCTAGATTCAAATCCTAGCTGCTATGCAGTCTTGGAATTCTCCGGAAGTCTAGGAGCCTGAAAAAATGGGGATGGTAATACTCATTTCCTGTTTTGGGAATGAGAAGCAATAATGTAGGTGAAGGGCTTCACGTGGTGCGTGACACATAGTATGTATGAAAGCTCTCAGTGGATGCTAGTTCCCACTCCTTCTCCATACGGGCTTCCCAGGTGGCACTAGTGGGAAGAATCCACCTGCCAATGAGGAGATGTAAGAGACCTAGGTTCAATCCCCTGAAGGAGGGCAGGGCAACCCATTCCAGTATTCTTGCCTGGAGTGTCCCATGGACAGAGGACCCTGGCGGGCTGCAGTCTACAAGGTCACAAAGAGTTGGACACGACTGAAGGGACTTAGCATGCTCCATACGGTGGGACATGAGAAACTGGGAAGGTCCCAAGCTTCTTGTTTCTCTGGGCTTCTGGCAAGGACTCCCCTTGCTCCCCAGGAAGCCCTGGGCCCAGACTGCACTGGAGAAAGCGTGGTAAGGTGAGACAGAGGCAGTGCCTGAGAGCAGAGCTCCCCAAGTGGGGTGAGAAGCGGAGGAAAGGCCACCTGACTCCTGTTTCTGATTCTGCCCTTGCAGATGGAGGTCACTGGTACCATGGCCCTTTCCTCAGCGGGCAGTCAGGCTTTGGCTGCTTTAGGTCCAGAAGCCAGCAGAGTGGCCCATGTATGCGTGTACGTGTACATGCTCAGTCACTGACCCTTTGCGACCCCAAGGGGTATAGCCCTCCAGGCTCCTCTGCCCATGGGATTCTCCAGGCAAGAATACTGGGGTGGGTTATCATGCCCTCTACAGGGAATCTTCCTGACCCAGGAATCGAGCCCACATCTATTGCCTTGGCAGGCGAATTCTTTACCATTGAGCCACCTGAGAAGCCTGGAGAAGCCTGATTGGCCCATAAAGGAGCTCCTGGTGGCTCGGGGGTAAAGAATCTGCCTGCAATGCAGGACACTCAGGGTTGATCCCTGGGATGGGAAGATCCCCTGAAGAAGAGTGTGACAACCCACTCCAGTATTCTCGCCTGGAGGATCCCCATGGACAGAGAAGCCTGGCAGGCTACAGTCCATGGGGTCGCAAACACACGACTGCAACTCACACACACACAAATTACTCAATGCCATAGTAGTCTCTTGGCTTGTGAGTAGGGGCTGGGATCAAGTGAGGATGCCTTCCCAAGAAAGAGGAGTATGCGGGGAATGACTCCAATTGCATCCTGAGAAATTGCCCTGGGTCAGAAGCAGTTTAAGAAGTCCAGCTCCATGGGAATTCTCTGGCAGTCCAGTGGCTAGGACTTGGTGCTTTCACTGCCGTGGGTGCAGGCTGGATCCCTGGTTGGGGAACTAAGATCCTGAAAGCTGAACAGCCAAGAAAAAAAGAAAAAAGGCTGCTCTGTATCTAAAATTTGGAAGTCTCCCAACCAGAATCCAGTTACGTGGAGACTGTGAAAGCTTGAGGATATGTGGGGACCCTGGCCACGGAGTTTAGCACAGGTAAGTACAGCTGTGGGGACTTCCCTGGTGGTCCAGTGGCTAAGACTCTACATTCCCAAAGCAGGGGACTCAGGTTCCATTCCTGGTCAGGGAACTAGATTCCACATGTGTCAACTAAAACCTGATGCAGCCAAAAAAAAAAAAAAAAAAAGACAGCTGTGACTCTCCAAAGAAGTTTCAGTGTTCAGTATAGCTAATTTTTTTTAATGTTCCAGGGTTGTATAGCAATTTATTTTGCACATTATTTTGTATAATACTTTAAAATGTATCTATTGCTATAATCTACTTAATCATTCTATTACTGATATTTAAGTTTTATCCAATATAGGATTTTACTATTAGACATAACTGAAATGAACATTGGCATGTATTTCAAAGTCTCTGACATATGAATTAATCACTTTTTTTGTGGGTAGTTTTTATTTTTATATCTATTTATTTTTTGTGGGAATCTTACTGAATAATGAAGTTTTCAGTTCAGTTCAGTTCAGTCGCTCAGTCATGTCCGACTCTTGCGACCCCATGGACTGCAGCATACCAGGCTTCCCTGTCCTTCACCAACTCCAAGAATTTACTCAAACTCATGTCCATTGAGTTGGTGATGCCATCCAACCATCTCATCCTTTGTTGTCCCGTTCTCCTGCCTTCAATCTTCCCCAGCATCAGGGTGTTTTCCAAGGAGTCAGTTCTTTGCATCAGGTGGCCAAAGTATTAGCGTTTCAGCTTCAGCATCAGTCCTTCCAATGAATATTCAGGACTGATTTCCTTTAGGATGGAATGGGTGGATCTCCTTGCAGTCCAAGGGACTCTCAAGAGTCTTTTCCAACATCACAGTTCAAAAGCATAAATTCTTTGGCGCTCAGCTTTCCTTATAGTTCAACTCTCACATCCATACATGACTACTGGAAAAACCATATAGCTTTGACTAGATGGACCACTGTCAGTAAAGTAATGTCTCTGCTTTTTAATAGGCTGTCTAGGTTGGTCACAGCTTTTCTTCCAAGGAACGTCTTTTAATTTCATGGCTGCAGTCACCATCTGCAGTGATTTTGGAACCCAAGAACATAAAGTCTGTCACTGTTTCCATTGTTTCCCCATCTATTTGCCATGAAGTGATGGGACCGGATGCCATGATCTTCGTTTTCTGAAAGTTGAGTTTTAAGCCAACTTTTTCACTCTCCTCTTTCACTTTCATCAAGAGGCTTTTTAGTTCCTCTTCACTGTCTGTCATAAGGGTGGTGTCATCTGCATATTTGAAGTTATTGATATTTTTCCTGGTAATCTTGATTCCAGCTTGTTTCATCCAGCCTGGCATTTTGCATGATGTACTCTGACTATAAGTTAAATAAGCAGGGTGACAATATACAGCTTTGACATACATACTCCTTTCCTGATTTGGAACCAGTCTGTTCCATGTCCAGTTCTAACTGTTGATTCTTGACCTGCATACAGATTTCTCAGCAGGCAGGTAAGGTGGTCTGGTATTCCCACCTCTTAAGAATTTTCCAGTTTGTTGTGATCCACACAAAGGCTTTGGCATAGTCAATAAAGCAGAAGTAGATGTTTTCCTGGAACTCTCTAGCTTTTTTGATAATCCAACAGATGTTGACAATTTGATCTCTGGTTCCTCTGCCTTTCCTAAACCCAGCGTGAACAACTGGAAGTTCACGGTTCACATACTGTTGAAGCCCGGCTTGGAGAATTTTGAGCGTTACTTTGCTAGCGTGTGAGACAAGTGCAATTGTGCACTAGTTTGAACATTCTTTGGCATTGCCTTTCTTTGGGATTGGAATGAAAACTGACCTTCTCCAGACCTGTGGCCGCTGCTGAGTTTTCCAAATTTGCTGGCAGATTGAGTGTAGCACTTTCACAGCATCATGTTTTTTAGGACTTGAAATAGCTCAACTGGAATTCCATCACCTCTGCTAGCTTTGTTCATAGTGATGCTTGCTAAGGCCCACTTAACATTCCTGGACGTCTGGTTCTAGGTGAGTGGTCACACCATCATGGTTATCTGGGTCGTGAAGATCTTTTTTTGTACAGTTCTTCTGTGTATTCTTGCCACCTCTTCTTAATATTTTTCTGCTTCTGTTAGGTCCATACCATTTCTGTCCTTTATTGTGCCCATCTTTGCATGAAGTATTCCCTTGGTATCTCTAATTTTCTTGAAGAGATCTCTTAGTCTTTTCCATTCTATTGTTTCCCTCTATTTCTTTGCACTGCTCACTGAAGAAGGCTTTTTTATTGCTCCTTGCTATTCCTTGGAACTCTGTATTTAAATGGGATATCTTTCCTTTTCTCCTCTGCCTTTAGCTTTTAAAAAATTTACTTTATATTGGAATATAAAGTCCATGGGGTCGCAAAGAGTCAGACACAACTGAGAGATTGTAACACTTCACACTTCATAGTTGATTTGCAATGTTCCTAGTTTTATGTGCACAACAAAGTGATTCAGTTATACCTACACACTTTTTCAGATTGTTTTCCCATTTAGGTTATGACAGAAAATGATGATTCCCGTGTGCTATACAATAGGTCCTAGTTGACTATTTATCAGTTCAGTTCAGTTGCTCAGTTGCGTCTGACTCTTTGCAACCCCATGGACTGCAGCACACCAGGCTTCCCTGTCCATCACCAACTCCCAGAACTTGCTCAAACTCATGTCCATCAAGTCAGTGATGCCATCCAACCATCTCATCCTCTGTCGTCCTCTTCTCCTCCTGCCTTCAATCTTTCCCAGCATCAGGGTCTTTTCCAAAGAGTCAATTCTTCACATCTGGTGGCCAAAGTATTGGAGTTTCAGCTTCAGCATCAGTCCTTCAATGAATATTCAGGACCGATTTCCTTTAGTGTGTATATATTAATCTCAACCTAATTTACCCCTCCCCCCACCACCTTTCCCCTTTGATAACCGTAAGTTTATTATCTAAGGCTGTGAATCTGTTTCTGTTTTGTAAATAAGTTCACTTGTATGATTTTTTTTAGATTCCACATGTAAGTGATTATTGTATGAAATTTGTCTTTCTCTGAATTCACTTAGTATGATAATCTCTAGGTCCATCCATGTTGCTGCAAGTGGCATTATTTCACTCTTGTCTTATGGCTAAGACAAATATATTTTTACATTTTTTAAATACCTCTTTTTGCTGATCCCTGATGCAGATCATTAGAACTGTCCAGACATTTTTAGGTCAGTGTATGAAATATGTTTTCTTTAATGAGAGTGGAAGTGGAGGGTAGTTCTATATGACTGACTAATGCCAAAGAGCAAAGCAATGATCAGTCTAACCCCCAAAGGTCTGTCTGAAGGCACATGTGTTGTCATGCTCCCTAATACCAAAGCTTAATAGAGACCCTAAACAAATATAGGCAAATATAGCCACTCTTCCCTCAAGCATTTTAAGTATGAAGGAAAAGAAGCGAGAGAAAACAGAAAATTAGGAACTGCATCAGACACAATGAAAACTTCAACCTCAAGATTTATGAGGGTCAGGGAGAAAAAAAGCAGCTAACAGCTATTAAGTACACGGTGAGAATAAGTTACCACTCCATGTTAGTACTTCATACGTACTTTCACTTGACCAATTTTCTAATTTTAAGAAGAAAGACTGAATAGCGTTATTTGAAAAGAATGGTGACATGAGAGCCAAGAGCCAGGGGTCGGAGTTTTGGCTATAACTAAGCTCTGTAGCCTTGGGACAAGTCAGATGATCCTCTGGAACATTAGTGTCTTTGTGAACAACTTGGCTGGGAAAATGAATTTCTCTTAAGTTTCTGTAGTGTTTTAAAATTCTCTGGTTCTCTGTTCTGATTTATATGTATCAGGATAAAATCTGTAGATTTTTTCCCCTTATTTTTCTTACTGTTCTCTGCCCATATACCCCAGAGATATTGCCAAAGCAGAAGAATGGAGTACAGACCAAAACAAATAATTCAAACAGATTTTTAAAGCATCTAGCATGGATATTAGTCCAAAGGTTAAAGTTCTTTCTACTTACAAGACTCAGCCACTTGAAAAGAGATGGTATCTACTTGAATTCTAAAAATCTGACTTCGCTTTGCTCATCAGGAGCAAAGAGTGATTCATGTAGCTGTTTAACTCAGTCTTAAACAGTCAGGGTCTCTAAGAACACTGTAAAATGCTGCCTGTATTTTTTCTCAAGTTGATATTTCTTCCTGTCAACAACAGAAATCCTGATTTCTCAACAAAATGATGTGTGGTATAACAGAAGCGCCTACACCCTCCTTCTTGCTCATGGAGAATATTGTCCTGAGAGGCTGACTTGCTGTAACTCAAGAAACTGGCAATCCTGTAGAGGAAACGTCTATTGAGTCAATGAGTGTGTAATTTCTAAGAACAGAAGAGTGTCTTGGGGGAAAAAAAAAAGACCTTAGGAGCTCCTACACTGAACAAACAGAAAGAAAGGGTCTACCATTAGGAGCAGACCTGAATTAAGTCTCACAACTGTGGAAGTCTGTGGACTTCTCTGTTGTCATAAGATTTGAAATAAGAACACCCTGGAGGGAATTCCCTGATGGTTCAGTAGTTAGGATGCCACACTTCCACTGTAGAGAGCTCGGGTGCAATCCCTGGTCAGGGAACTAAGATCTGGCATGCCGCGTGGCATGGCCAAAGTAAAAAAACAAAACAAAACAAAAAAAGAATATGCTGGATTTGATATTTATTGGATAAATAATAATGCCACTATAATTTCTAAAAGACTTACACAGATTCCACCAACACACCACTAATCTAAGTTCTTATAGGTTTAACATTACACAGACTTCAAGATAACCTAGGAGTCTTTGGCTCCATTTAACAGAAAAAGGACCGCTGAGGGTCATTTTACCTCTCTCAGTTTCGGTCTTGTCTTCTGGAAAACGGGCCTACAACTGCTTCCTTTCCTAACCTCTGGAATGGTTCTGAAGACCGAAAGCAATCATGTAAAATAATTTTACATACTATTTTTTGCACTTACCCAAACATGTTTAAGAATCCGCATAAAATAACCTATAACAGGCTTATATATAACAATATGTACACATACCATGTATTTTTGCTTTGTGTATACTCATATAAATTACACATATAGTTCAATCTGAAAACAGTCACCAGTCTACAAAGAATCATTAGCTGAGACAATTCACAGTAGGCATACTCCCCTTACAAATACAAAGAAGTACAAGGGGTTTTGCAATTAAAAGTAGACATACTGCTTTACTATCTGCATTGTTTTCATTTTTGGAAGCAGAGCAAAGGGTGACCAGAAGGTGGGAAGTTGAAGGAGGGCTGATGAGTAGTGAAGACAGGCAGAAACATAGAAAATCTGAACAAGGCCAGCAGAAGGAAGAAAATGAAGGCAGAAACTAAGATTCCAAAAAGTTGCCTTGCGTACAATTGCACCATCCTGCATCAACTGGCTTTCTTTTATTTGATGTCCTCTGATCAGTTCTCCTTCCAGCACAAACTGGAGAAAGCAAATCCCTCTGCTGTTCTGGAGTCTTCTGATATAAATTACAGGTCTGCATCAACATATGTGGAGCAAGGATGACGACTGACTTGTGCACCTGGGAAAGTTCAAGGCAGTATGGTCTACTTCTGGAAAGGCCTGGATTCTCTTTGATTCCAGTGGGAAAAAACCCCAGCCCCAGCAATGCCCAGAACGGACAGTAGAAGGCAGATGGGCACTGGCTTCGGGAAGATGTACGGACAGATCAGTTCTTTCCTGTTGTCTGAGTCTCCTCTGCTGCCCTCTCTGTTAACGGACAGGACGGGACTGTCCCGCAGGAAGAGCAGGTGGCCTTGACTCGGCTGAGTACAAATCACTGACTGAGGATCAGCAACTGGCAGTCCTGGAGTCTCCGGACTTCAATGAGGAAGCACAGTTACAGTTCTCCCAACTCGCCTTCCATTGCCCGCACCATGACGTAGAGCTCGGCCAGACCCACCACAGAGGCCACGATCAAGGCAGCCAGTACCCGCTGGGAAGGGAGAGAATCAGGCTTACGTGATGCAGGCCAGCTTCCAGCTCTGCAGCCTCTAGCACCCAACAAGGATGGAGAGGCCCTCAACCCAGCCCGTAAGTTGGGGGGAAGGGAAGAAAACCAGATCCTGATTCTTCTGAGGTTATTATCTACCTCCATGACTGTCAGATAGATCAAACACTCCCTTTGTTTATCATATAAATACAAAACCTGTTCAAGGCATTTTTGCATACCTCCTCCCTATCCCACCAACACTCCCAACTGGGGCACCCTGCCCTACCCAGAACCTACTCACCGAGGTCATTTCTGTGAAGATATACTGGCTTCCAAGGTAAGTGCAGACAAAGGCAGCCGCCACCGTGACAATGAAGTTGAAGATGGTGATGACCAGAGCCTTCACTGACCTCACTTTGGGGAGGAGCCCGGGCAAGAAACTTTTAGGTCAGCATCCTCCACGAGGTCCTTTTATCTCACAGTTGCCTCCCCCATCAGCCAGGCTTCCCTCAAACAGCAAGCCTGAACAGCTCGGGCTTAAGTCCTGAGCAATGGAGTGGGAAGGAGGACCATGGCTGACCCATCCCAGTGAGAGGCTTTTGCAGCCTGATTTCCTAGTACCTCACCTTGCTTTCCCAGGTCACTGAGAGTTCCGCCATGCCTTGGATCCTTGGAAAAAGAAAAAGCAAAGGATTTCAGAATGGAAGCAGCCCAGAGAGTATTCATTGGTCAGTCTGGGCTCAGCCCTCTTTATTACCCAACACACTAGTTCTATCTTCTCCCTGGATTTTGTCTAGGACCAGTTGGATTCTTCTCTGGATCAAGCATTTCAGAGAAGAGATGTGTTTTTCGAGTATTCGTGTATCCCTCTCTTCCTCTGGGCCAGGTACATGCCAGAGAAAAGTAGGGTGCTCTGTCAAAAGAACAGCTCCAGGCTCATCTCCACCTCTACAACCTTTAAAAATCAGTCACCATCTGAGCTGACAGTCTCACTAAACAGGATGGGAACTGTATTTGGCTTGTACGCAGCACAGAGCTTCTACAGTCCCTTAATATTAATAGTATACAAACCAGGTTTCCACGTTGTTTCTTCCATCTGTGCATCTTCCTAGTGCAGGGCCCTGCTTTCAGGGGCTACAGGGTCCACACATTGAAGAGTGGGCTCTTACCTGACAGGTGACATTGCGGGTGATCCGCTTATATTCCTCATTGGCCAGCTGTATCTTAATCTTTTCCAGACGAGCAACTAGCTCTGGGTTCTGAGGCAGAAAAATCAAACAAGAAGAATGATATTTCGAGCTTGCTAGAAAACACGTCACAATCACTGATTTCAGGGGGCAAAGTACTGCTAAGAAGACCCATGCACCAGTCCTGCCTCCAGTGCTTTGGAAACTATTGTCTTTTTTTGGGGGGTATCAGTTTTCCAAGCTGTCAGACTGGGAGGACAATATCTGGTTTCCTCCACCCCAGCTCTCAAGGATTCAAAGAACAAATTTTGCGCTCAAAGATTCATAAATTTGGAAGCAAAATGAATAAACCCAACTGAGTCAACATCCATTTTCACAAATATAATCCCTTACGTACCCGAGGAGGCTTCACCACCTCTGGGAGATAGATTTCACTGCCTTCTAGGAGCTCATGAAGGTATAGTTTGGAACCTGAGGAAAAATGCATAGAGGTGAGGTTGAAGGATCAGAAAAGGATCTAGTCCACCAATTCTTTTTTTTTTTGGCAGTGCCATGAGGTATGTGGGAACTTAGTTTCCCAACTAGGGTTCAAACCCACACCCTCTGCATTGAGAGCACGGCATCTTAACCACTGGACTGCCAAAGAAGTCCCCAGCCCACCAAGTCTTTCTACCAGAATAAAACATGGCTATTCTTGTATCAGTTCATTTCTAGGATCATTTTCAATTGGGAAGAAACTAAGATAATCCCACATACATTAAGTATATCCTAGTGCTGCATAGTGACTTTAATTGTTGGCTCTCAATTACCCAACCAATGTCACAGCTAGTAACACGTAGGTCATTTATATTCATCTTTAAGTTAGGTTATTTCTGTGGCCACAATAGAACTTGCCCTAAATAGATTTAAGGCCTAGTGGTGGTGAATACTTAGAAGACACTGTGCTAGATGACCTCTAAGGTCCTTTTTAGTTCTAATAATTGAATAATCTACCCTTCCCATTTCTGGGCAGGCTGTTAATTCTGGCAAAAGACCTTACCTGCCAGTTTGTCATATTGGACCCCTTTACATATAAAGGAACAGAGGCTCAAGGAAGAGGAATGACTCCTCCACAAAGAGTCAATAGCAGAGCCAGGACTACAATTCAGATTCCACTCCCAGTCCAGAGCTTTCAACAGAACTTCCCGTCATTCTATATCCAAAAACAAAAACCAACCAACTCTCAGATGGGACCACTCTTAAGATGGAAAGAAATCTAGATTCACATACAGGGTGAGCTCACTATGTTGTTATTATTATTTTTTTTAATGTGGCTTAAAAGAAAGAAACTGAACCTGTGCAGTGCTACTGAGTTAGAATGTGGACTTTCTCAAGGGTCATGTGGGCCTAGACGTAAAGATGAGACTCAAGAGAACAGGAACTGCACAATAAATTTTGTCATCCATGAAAAATTCCCATGGAAATTATAAAGAGAGTAGGTTGGTTCCCCAGGGTTTATGAGGTGACTCTTGGGTTGGCCAGATGATCATTCTATGGGTCAAAGAGAGTGATGGATTTGAAACCCAGTCCCCCTAAAACTGAGTTTCCTTACTGACCTTACGATTAATCTCTCTATCCAAAACTTTATTCCTTTTCCTGTCCCCTGTAACTTCTATCCTGTGTTAACAGAATACTAATGAACCAGACTCAGATGATTAAAACTGCTATGTTGACAACATCTTTAATGTACTGCTATAAATATCATCATTAACCTGAAAACTCTGGTTGCTTCTCCAGGGCAAAGTGAGCTAACAGACACAGGAGCCAAGGACCACTTGACCTGAGAATCCTAAATCAGAGAGATTCTGACTCCTGAAACCACAATTAGGAAATATCACACGACAATTATTCCCAGCCTCTTTGTTCTCCTCCTTTAAACGAAAATTCCTTAACTCAAATTCCAAACTAGAGTGGATTTGAGCCTTGTTTCCCGTTCCCTTGCTTGGCACTCTGCATTAAATACTGTACTTCAACAGAACCCTGCCTCAGTATATTGGGTTTGCTGGGAGTCATGAAAGAAGCCGCGAGTTTGGTTCAGCAACAGATACACCGCTCAGGAAAAAAGACCTCAGGACGGCCTAAACTCTGGAAAAAAAAAGAGGCGACCCTGAACCGGAGACTGGGCTCACCCCTTTCTCTCAAGTACTGATGCAGATCCCGGATCAGGCGGAAAGAAACCAGGCGAGCCGGGCGATTGCCGCCCTTGTGCTTCTTCCCTAGTGCGGCCTCAAGCTCTGCCCGCAACTTCCCGGGTAGTTGCTCTGGCTCCAGCTCCCCACCAGGACCCAGAGCGCGTACAAATCGCTCGCCAGCTAACAAGCAAGACGCCATGACTAGCCGACTTCACGGTCAGGTGACCCAGAACCGAGACATCCGTCCGCCTGCGCCGGAAGAAGCGCGAAGCTCGCGAGGCGGGGCAGAGGGCCTAGGAGGCGGGGCAACGGCGCGGGGCAGTGTGGGGCGGGGGCGGAACGCCGCCCGGCCGCGGGTCGGGCAGTGTGTCAGCAGCCCAGCGGGCGCTCGGGCGAGACATGGCGGGCTGTGTGGCCCGGCGGGCCCTGACCGTGGGCAGTCGTTGGTGGTCCCGGTCGCTGACTGGGACCCGGGGGCCGAGGCCGCTCTGTGCGGCGGGTGGAGCTGGGGCCTTCCCACCCGTGGCGGCCACGACGACGCGGAGGCACCTCTCGTCCCGGTGAGGGACGGAGCGCGGGGGTCGGGCCCGGAGCCTAGGGAGCGTGTCCCGGGCCAGAGGGCCCAGCGGCAGAGGGTGATAGGAGTTCGAGCCGGGGGAAAGTTCCGGCCGAGAGCCGACCTGCGCTACCTGGGACGCGTGCCAGGAGCGAGGAAGGGAGCGCGGCCCAGAGTCCTGGATTGTGCCGGACTGGCCCTGAGGGGGAACTAGTAACCCTCTCGGAGCAAAGCCTACTTCCTCGAATGCGGGCATCCGAGCGCCACTGTTAGTGAGAAGTCCTTCAATTAAGTGCTAGGGCTTTTGATTTGAACCCCCAGCCCGTGACTGAGGGTCAAGGCCTCCCTCAGAAAGATGCTGGAAATGGGAAACAGGACCCGAGTCTGCGCCCTGCGTGGGTCCCAGGCTTCAGTGTGACCTTGGGGGCACATTCTCTCTTCATGTGACTTGAGGAAGGAGGAGGTTTGAGGCCACGGGGATGGTGTGAACAATGTGCCTAGGGATGGGACCAGAGAGATCAAATTGGGGCAGGTGAACCAAGTGGAAGGAGACATGGAGTTCACCTCTCCACAATAGTAAGAAAACGGTGCTTTGAAGGGCCCCCAGAAAAAGCAGTCCAGTCCAGAAGTCACTGTGAGAGCTGACCATTTAGTGGCTGAGATGAGACACGGACATGGGGGAGAGATGATAGCTATTTGCAATTTAAGACTCCTCTGAAAATTGATATAAATCTGAACAAAAACTTGATTGAGAGAATAACACTGGTGCAATGCCAGGACGAGGACTGCAGTTTAGAGGTGGAGATGGACATGGCATGATGACACAAAAGAAGTTTTCTTTTGAGCACCCCTTATACCCTAGGCTCTGAGAGGGAGCACAGGCTAATCAGACACAAGCATTGCTCCCGGGGAACTTACAGTCTCTAGCGGAGATAAGACAGTGACACAAATAACTGAAATGCAAGGTGGGAAAGGCAGTCACTCACTGCTGTGGGAGGTCAGGAGGATGGGTCAGGGAAGAATTGGAGGCAAGGGTCTGAGGGCGTGATACGAGGAATGCTAAGAGTCAAGAGGGAAGAAAGTGATCTGGGAGCTGTAGATCTCATGGGCATCTGTGGCTGGACCTCAGAGGCGAAGCAGCAGAATCTCTGTGGAGGGGTGGCTTGGCAGGACCCTTCCCTGCTTCAGCTGGCCCCACTGCTGCGACCCTTTTCTGCTGTCATGGCCCCCGCCCTCCCAGTATCCTAGTAGCTTTTTCTGATGGATTAGTACCCTTCACTTCTTAGCTTTTCAGTTGCTTGTTCTTTTTCCTTCCTAATCAGAAACCGACCAGAGGGCAAAGTTTTGGAGACAGTTGGTGTGTTTGAGGTGCCAAAACAGAATGGAAAATATGAGACCGGACAGGTGAGTGCAGGGCGGCGTCATCCTTCGTTTTCATGGTGTGCTCAGCTTCTGAAAGGGTAAAATTTGGCCACAGGCTTGGACATCATGATTTTCTGCCTTGGTGTTTGGTGCCAGACCAGAATCAAAAGTTTTGTTGTTTTAAGATGGTTTTTTCCCCCTGTTTTCCTGGATTTGAATGCACTTCATGCGTCATCGGGTTTTGTTTCCAAGTTAGTGTGGACAGAGATGGTTTGAACTATATTGAGGAGAAAGTCCTATTGCTGAAGAGTCATCTAACATCATGGTTGGTGGGAAGTCAGTGGAGGGAGCTTTCAGAAAAGCACTCCTGCTTTTCTGATGCTTTGTTCTAGTTGAATTGAGTGCAGTGAATTAAGTTCTGGGTGTGAGGCTGTTTTTCTGAGTTAGTTTTATGCCAGATCTTCTGAGATAGATTTAGGCCTCTTGTAGATAAGAAGGACTTTTTGTTTATTCAGCCTTTTTCCTCTGTATGCCTCTAATAGACAGGGCTTTATGAATTGGTATTAAATCAGAAAGCAGTTCTTTCATGGAGTTGACAGTCTAAGAAAAGAATTATAGTATGCACATGGTTCACAGCTGTACACTGTGCCAAGTGGAAGGGAGGGAAGGGAAGGGAAGGCTTCCTCGAGGCCTCGGCCATGGCCTGACGGCTGAGTAGAAGTCAGCCAGGTAAAGGGACAATAAGTGTGTTCCACAGTTGGTCTGGGTGGATCTCAGAGTCCAGGGGAAGGAATAGCAAGAACTTGTGCTGGGATTGCCACCACCTGTGCCACTTGGTGGTCTGGGCCCCGCCTGGATGCACCCGCTAGGCTGCAGACTCACTGAAGCCTCTCTTTTCTCCCAGCTTTTCCTTCACAGTGTTTTTGGCTACCGAGGTGTTGTCCTGTTTCCTTGGCAGGCCAGACTCTATGACCGGGATGTGGCTTCTGCAGCCCCAGAAAAGTAAGTTTCCCTCTCATTGTGCCTCACAGTATCCTTTGGAGGAGGCCCGACCCATGGTAGACCTACGTAATTGGAGTCCCAGCGGTGAGGACAGAATCATCCTGGGCCTTAGGAATAGTCCCAGAACACTCCCTTGACACTGATGCCCATGGAGACAAAAGTGCTGAGTGCTGAATCTTAAGCCAAAGGGTCCCTTCGGGCCTCCCCAGGATGCTTACCCCAGGCATTCTTAGTTTGCATTATCAGTACCCCAGAGGGCATCTGGGAAACTGGGCTTCTTGATTTCTTGATGTTCAGTTGGAAGCTTTCTCTTCATCTCTTACCATCACTAGAGTACATTTAAAAAAAAGAAAAGGCCCAGCTCCATTAAGTGATCACAGAGAGCCCCTGGGATGTGAGAAGAGTGGGGTGCTCTGGGCTCCAGGGACTGAAGCAGCAGTTTGATTTTCTCAGCTTGGCCCCTTTTTTAAAGAGGCATCCAGAGAGTAAGATAAAGGATGACTCTTCACCACACTCTATTGGTTGCTCCTGACTGGGGAGCGCTGGGCCGGTGTGTGCTGAACATCTGACCAGCTGCTGCTAAGCCCCTTCAGTTCAGGCACTGGTCTGTTTAGGTGAGGGGGTGGTAGGGAGCTGGGGCAGGCCCTGCTTCCATTTCTCAGGTTGATCTTGGGCTTTTCCACCTGCCCCATAGAACAGAGAACCCTGCTGGCCACGGCTCAAAGGAGGTGAAAGGCAAAACTCACACTTACTATCAGGTGCTGATTGATGCCCGAGACTGTCCACATATAGTAAGTAAGCAAGGTCGCTGCGCCTGGGGTTCCTTTCCATGGGGAAGGCCTGGACCCTGATGGGGACTAAGAGAAGGAGAGGGATCCAACAGTTCCACACTGCACTGGGCCCCAGGTCCTCAAGATTGGATAGTGACTGAGAAAACCTCTGACTTGCCTCTTGCCTTAGTCTCAGAGATCTCAGACAGAAGCTGTGACTTTCTTGGCTAATCACGATGACAGCCGGGCCCTCTATGCCATCCCAGGTGAGTTATGAGCGTCTGAGTGGTGCCTATCGGTGAGGGGTCTGGTGTGTCTCAGGGAGAGAATTCCAGTGCCTTTCTGCTGTCCTCGAATCTGCTGGGAGGGCGTGTAGATGCTGAGAGCTGTGGTGCCAGGGTCGTCCCACCCTGGGACAAGGCCAAGAAATTGAGTTTCTTTTCAGCCCCACTCTTCCCCATTCCTTCGTGAGTTTCCCATCTCTGTCTCTCTGCCAGGCCTGGATTATGTCAGCCACGAAGACATCCTCCCCTACACCTCCACTGATCAGGTTCCCATCCAGCACGAGCTCTTTGAAAGGTTTCTTCAGTATGACCAGACAAAAGGTACCCTCTCTCATAAAGGGAAGCTGGAATGGGAGGGCCCTTCTTCAAAGACCGTGTCACAGAAGCAGTTTCAAAGCTGTTTCTACAGCTCTATTCAACCTCCCTTTCGACCTGTCAGGTGGATGGCCTTTATCTCCTCCTCACAGATGGGGAAACAGGCTCAGGGATGCTGAGAGCGACTCAGGGTTGCTAGGTAGTGGCAGAGTGAGATCTGAGAGCCAGGGCTCCCAACTCCCAGGCCATTTCTCTTCCCTGACGTCATATTCCTCCTTGGGGCTTATTCTTGGTAGGGAGCTCTGTGCCTTCTTCCAGCCTTGCTGCTTTGGCTCATGTGTCTCACTTACCTTGGCCATCACTGGGAAGGGTTTTATAAGAGAAGAAGTTGGCCGCTGGCCTGGTCTAACCAGTCATTTCTTGCCCCAGCACCCCCTTTTGTGGCTCGGGAGACACTACGGGCCTGGCAGGAGAAGAATCACCCTTGGCTGGAGCTCTCTGATGTCCACCGGGAAACAACTGAGAATATCCGTGTCACCGTCATCCCCTTCTACATGGGCATGAGGGTAGGTGCTGAGCCTTGGTACCTTCCTTCAAGGCTGGGACCCCAGGTTCTGTGTGGTGTCCCCAGTGTGACTGCTGGTGTGGGTCCCGCATTTGAACCATGTGCCTGAGGTTCTGGATTCCAGTGCTGCATGTATTGGTTGGGGTCGAGCACCCTCTTGGCAAGAGCTGACGCCAAGACCTGGAGCAAGGAAACTCTCAGATCCCAGGAAGGAGGCCTCCAGGTTGACTCTCTCTTCTCTTCTGGCTCAAAGGGAGCCATGATTCTGGAAAACATACCCATACTTGTTTAAATCACCGTAGGCTCATCTTCCCACATTGTATTTATTTACTCTTTTTTTAAAAAACAAGGAAAGAAAGAAAGAAGGAAGGATTCCCACATTTTATACATTTATTGAACTGTTT